TCATAAATTTTGGATACATATAGAAAGAGTTATGCACATTTTAGTATAGATGGGTTAGGAGGAAATACTGCTGGAATTTTGGGGGGAAAGAAATTTGTCTAATTACATTAACCCAGCTTACTAATGTTTTTTTTATTTATCCTAACTTTTCTTTAGCCACCTAAACACTTGAATTAAATGCTTAGAAGCCAAATCATCACCTTTGACTTCCAAAACATGCCAACTTTGCCTTTCAAGCTTCCTCCACTTTACATTTGGCCTAATTAAATTTTAACACTTATGATATAAATAAATGTGAGGATAAAAGGTGAGTATATAAGGGAAAGAGAGGGTTAAATGGCTGCCATTTTTAGGTCAAAAACCATAGCAATCTAGAATTCAAAAGAGAAGCCAAATTGAAGAGAGAAAAACAACAAAAAGAGAGAAAGAAAGAAAAGAGAAAGAAAAGGGAAAAAGGAAAGAAAAAGAGCTAAAGAAATTCTAATCAAACTGAAAAGAGGTAAAGTAGGTTTCATGTATTTTGGTTGATTAATGTCTTAAATTATTTTTTTAAAGTTATTTTGTTAGTATTTATTTCATGGGTTGTAATAATTTTCAATGGTTATATGCTTGATGCTTAGAATAAATCTATGTATGGATGCCTTGTTGTGATGATTTATGATGTTTATGTTGCTTTGAAAATGTCCAAGTATGTGGTGATGGGTTGGATTGAACTTGGACCAAATTTAAGTGAACTAAAACATGTTTAAAGTTGGATTGGAATGAACTAATAAATTAGTGTTAATAAGGAGTCAATTCTGTCTGAATTTTGAGGTGTATATTCAAGGATTTTAGATCGATTTCTAGGTGAAACTTAAAGCATAAAAGTTGTTCATCTATGTTTAAACTAACTCCCTTTAAAATTTCTTGGTCATTGGATTCGTGTACAAGGAGTTATACCCGATTTAGTATGGATAGCTCTAGATAAACCACTATTAGGCAGATTGCTCCCTAATTTTGAAAAATTTATAATTAATTGTGTAATTGGTATTTAGACCTAATTTTTGGATATTTTATAAATAAATATGTCTAGTATTTAAAATAAAATAAGTACGATTTAATTATTTTTTGAAATTAGAAAATTATTTACTTGATTAGGAGTTGCCCGGTAATAAACCCTAAAACAAAAAAAATAGACTTGGACAAAATTAATAGGTTTGGAATAAACTAAATGAGCTTGGACTAAATAAAATGGAATTAAATAGAGTCAATGAGCCTAGGATAAATTTAATGGGCTCGAATTAAAGTAAATGGACTTGGACCTTCTTTTAAATATTAATGAAACTAATGAACAATATTAATGAGCGGAGATTGTGTTCCCGTTGTGGGTATCGGGATTGGTATGTGAGAAATGAATAAATTTCGAGTGTGGGTTGGACCATGAGTATGGCATGAGAATGAAGGGTTGGTACCCGAATTTGGTTGAATGTGATTAAATATGTCATCACGTGCATCATGTGCATAGTGGGTGGTTTAAGACAAGTCAATTGATTGAAAATGGTTTATACATCTAGGTTTGATAACATAACTGGAATAAATGGATATTAGTAGTCCAAGTACTCTAGGATGTGTGCCCGCACTATTAGACGATCGATTTCCGCTAATAGTAGTTACAACGAGGGATAATTCCGTTGTAGCGAGAAGATGATCCGAGGATCATCCGGATGAAATCAAGCTGTGTGCTTACTCGTTAGACGATGGATTCTCGCTAACGGTAGTTACAACGAGGGATAATTCCGTTGTAGCGAGAAGGTGATCTGCGAACCACCGGATGATAAATAGAGTAGGCTGGCTAATACCTGTGGTACCCGAGATTAAAATTTATGAGTATGGTGGGAAGTCAAAACAACATTGCATATCACGTGCATCACCCCGCTTACCGAGCTTCGACTCACCATGTTGTTATTTTTTTTATGTCTTGACGGAAAAAGGACGAGTTGGTACGGATGCGGCTGGCTCCTCCTAATCGGCTCATGTGAGGCATTATTTATTAGTTTTTATTTTGTACGTAAATTTGGGGTATGGAGTTCGTGAGAAATCGAATATCGCCTGTAATGTTTTATTAATGTATTTAATTATGTTATGTAAATTTTATCTTAAGGAGTTATATACGTAATGTACTCGTTAAAGTCGTAAGAATATCATAAAAAAACTACTTAGAGTTTAGGATATGTCAGCGTAACGCGCTTCGTCCAAGTACTCTACTTGGGTAGTAGAAATATGATCAGGGCGAGGGCGTTACATCTTATATTTCTTATGTGTATCTTTCTTGTTTGAGAATTTTGTATGGACAAGACTAACTTGGTTTGGCTTAAGAAAAAAGTCAAGTAAGTGCTACACGAGAGCTTGAAAAAGGCTAAGTCCTTGACAATATACATAGTTGTATAGTTTTGTCTTGCATAAACATATGACACAGGTATCGAAATTGCATTTGGAAACTTAGTTCATCAAAAGATTTTGTTGATAGTTAAGTTTTGGAAAAGCCTAGGGTGATACTGTATCAAAACACACACAAAATTGATGTTGTTTTTCTATTCTTTTATTTTATTACCAAGGGTACTTCCAAACTAGTTTTCATATCATTTATAATGATAATGTACCTATATATATATATATGTTCTAACTAATTTATACGTTAGTCGAAATATAATTTAAAGGATGCATCTTTTTAAAGTAAAAAAAAATAATAATTAAACCACCTCACCAAACCAACTCCTTAAATTTTGTAACTTTTACAATAAATTTACATATCTCTAACTCCAAGGAAAATAAATCAATGAGATAAAAAATTAATTTGGAAAAAAGATTTTAACGGCATTAGAGTATTTTGGATAGTTGACAATTAGGATAGTGCATTCTTACAACTTTTTTTTAAAAAAATTTTTTTATGAATATTTCTTCAACCATTAAATCATGAGTGTTCAAATTCCAATGCAAGTTGTGATTTTGCATGGCTATTGTTATTTTTTTTTAATTAAATTGGAGAATAAGTTTATTTTCTTATAAAAGTTGGTTTAGTAATGTTTCTCAAATATAGTTATCTTATTCAAACTAAATTCGTTGGATCGACTAAAATAACGGTTAATTGGATATTCAAGCTCGGTTAAACCATTAGACCAATTTAATCACCTTTTACTTGTTTTATTTCTTTTTTTAATTTTCTTTAAATATTTTTATCTCATGTTAGAGATATGACTAATTTTGTTTGTTTGGAAAAAAATAACAAAATTTAACCTCTTTCAACAAATGATACTTCAAGATTCGAACTCTCCATATTAATAAAAAATTCATCTAAAACCAACTCGGCTACAACTAAACCAACAACTTATTGCTAGTTGTTTTATTTCTTATATATTAATTTACACACATCAAATAAAATAATAAATAACACTATAGTCCTCCATTTTTTAAGAGATCTCACATTAGAACATATGTTTTGTGAAAAAACAAAATGATATCAAAAATTCAAGTTTTAAATTTAATACGGTAAAAAATTAAAAAATATAAATAAATTATGGCATTTATATTCAATTTATGACCTCGTGCAACTTACAGGAAAAAAGAAAAACGTTGATAGTAAATCTATATAACTATTACGAAGTCGTTTGGTGCGACGTATGAGTAAATGCAAGTATGTAACGTGTCTGTCCATACTCTCCAATAAAAAAACTGAAGCAAAAAATGCGCCACTGAGCAGGAGAGAGACAGAGAGGCTTGTGCTGTGCGAAAAGAACTGATATATCATCTGTTGTCTATTCCATCTGCTTTCACTTTCACTCTCTCTCTCCCAGAGACTTCACATACAGACACAGAGAAAGAGATTAAGAAGAAGAAGGAGGAGGAGGAGGAGCACTTCTTCCTTCCCATTCTCTCCCTCTTTGTCTCTCTTTCCTTTTCTTCTCAGGTCCTTTCTTTCTTCTTTACTCTTCACTCCCTCTCTCTCTCAAATTTTCTTTCTTTCTTTCTTTTTTTAAAAAACTTATATCTTAACCTTAATCGAGAAACTGCTTTGAATATTGATCAATGTGATTACCAATTTATCTTTTCTTTACCTTCTCTCTTCCTGTCTCTCAGTTTTCTACTTTTCTTTATTTTAACTCTGTTTTCTTTTCTTTATTATGTAAATTAACATTTTTGTTGTTCTAAATATATTTTTGCAGAGTTTCAAGTTGAAATGTGGAGCCATTTTGCGCAATGAGGTCAGTACTGCTAAAAAGAATGTTACAGAATCTCTGTATTCTCTGGTTGGTTGTTGAGAAAACCAAGGAAAAGAGAAGTTTTTTAGTATTTTTTATTTTATTTAAATTTTGTGGTTCATTTTTGCTGCTTTTGAGGTTTGAGAGTGAGAAAAAAGATGGAAGTTGTTGGGTTTTAGGTTCTGCCCAGATAAGTTATTCTAATGTCTTGCTTTCCAAATTAAATTTGCAAAGTAAAGAATTTTCTCTTGTTTTCATTCTCTGCTTTTCGTTTTTTTCCTCATGCATTTTCTTTCTAAAAAAAAAAAAAAGAACTTGGGCATTATTTTTTTAAAAAAATTTTTTTTGGTTGAAATTTTACAAAGTTGTGCTGATTTGTCTTCTAGTTTTGACCGCCGTTTCAATCTCTGTGAGTTTGACTGTTTTGACATCCTAAAATTGACAATTTAATTGATTATTTATTGGCTGATTTGCTATAATTCAGTTTATATATATATATATATATATCCTGTCTCTGAATTTAAAATTCTTTCTGTTGTTTGCAGGATTATTGAATTTTGCTAGCCCTGATAGATTTTGATGTTCTATAAGTTCTGTTTTCTGCACCCTTCACTATACAAAAAAACAAAAGGTTCTTTACCTTACCCCTTTATGATTGATGGGTTTTACGGGCAATAGTTTTCTGACGGGCATTTTACGGTGTTAATTCCTTTCCACTTTGCAGCTTTGATTTGTTAGAATTGGAGATAAATCAGTGGTTTCAAAATGAATGGGAACAGACAAATGGAGGTGCATTATATAGACACTGGCTTTCCTTACACTATGACTGAAAGCTTTATGGATTTCTTTGAAGGACTAACGCATGCTCCAGTAAATTATGCTCACACTGGACCCATGCATGATCAGGTACTTATTATTTTTCATTCAGTTTTTATGTTTGAAAAGAAAAGGAAAAAAAAAAAAATCTATGAGATGAGTTTTCAAAAATAACTCATTAGGTTGTTCACGCTTTAGGCAATGTTTTCAATGAATAGAGAAGTAGGTTGGTCATGATGTAAGGTGCACACTTTAATAATATTAATGAGTAGATTGCCCTTGAAATAAATTGGGAAGCTCAAAATGCTATACTTGCATGCTAATTGCTAATGGCACTACTTGCTATCTTGCACTATAGCATGCGACTGCAATCCGCACTATTGATGAATATACTCATGATTCCACTGCACGCCCTAGGTACTCTGTTGAGTGTTCTAAGCTAGCATTTTCTGTGTTTCTTTTGTTAGTTGTTTTGTTTATGAAATGGTAGCTGCAGCAGTGCTTATTTATTTATTTTTTGTTCTCTATTCAGGACAATGCATATTGGTCGATGAATATGAATGCATACAAATTTGGATTTTCTGGTCCTGGGAGTACTTCTTACTACAGTCCATATGAGGTAACTGATAATTTACCAAGAATGGATGTCAGCAGGACAGCCTGGGAATACCCTTCAGTAGAGAATGCTGAAGAGCCCACAACCACAGACACACAGTTTGAAGAAGATGAGGAAATGGGAGTGCATACCATACCCGAAGAAAGTTAGAAGTTTGTTCCATTTTTGTATTTGCTGTTAATTGATTTATGATATGAAAAATTTGGTGCCTTGTCTTTTTTGTTGATCAAGGATCTTCCAATTTTTTAGTTATTGGCTTGTTAGATTAGAAAGCATCCCTTTATAGTGGCAAGATAGATTTACAGTAATTCATTTTAGGTTTCAAAAGTTAAGGGGCTCCAGGATGTATGTTTCTTGCCCAGTTGATGTTTGCCTGAAGCTGTTTCCTTGTGTTCAGTTTTTATGAACATCTAGCTTTTGTTTCGAGTCTTTTATTTTTCTGATCTTTTGAATGCTTTATTGCTTCTGCAGGCATTTCAAATCAGCCAACCACCAATAGTCCGCAGGTATGAAGTACTTTTCCGATGTAGTTTTATGTATTTCAGGACATTTCTTAGTGTTAGTTTATGTTTATTATTACATAAGTTAAGCTCCCATTCAACTTCTACAAGCACTTTACTTAAAATTCTCCTGGGCATGAGCTTATAAGGAACGAAGTTCATCATAATCTTCACAGTAATGATTTATTATTTAGTCAAAAGTGCTATAGTAAGGTCGTCAAAAGTGCTATAGTAAGGTCATCATAGGCCATTTTGATAAAGGCAAGTGAAACTGTACTTAATAAAACCTTTTGGTCAATGTTTTAAATGAGCTGCTTGTCTTTCTACAGAATATCATACAAAATTAATATATCTTATTGATTTGTTATTTTCAGCATCAGGTCTCATGCTGTTGCTCACTACGGTGTTATGTTGATGTAAAAAACTAATTAAGCCTTTAGGTTTTTCCGTGCATTTTTGCAGGCTCTTTGGCAAGATGATGTCGAACCAGATAACATGACGTATGAGGTATGGTTTATGCAACTTGTTGTGTTAGGTTCCTTGCAATGTATTGCATTTGTGTATTGTACCAACCTCTACCAAGCATTTGCAAATATCAGTAGATATTCACCTTTTTCTTTTGTTTTGAAGCAGACACATGCATCATCTTTTACTACCATCCCAATTAAGTCCTTTTCTGTTTATTAAATAAACTTCTGAATGCCAGTATTCAAAGGCATAAACTTGGTGCTTTTTTTTTGTTGCACAATAATTGCATATTAAATTTTGGCGAGTGAAAAATAAAAATTGTAAAAAGACTTTATAGGAGAGTTTTGATTCCCTTCAAAACTGGAGGGTATTGTACATGTTGTGCATATCTCTGAGTATTTGTATCCTCATTTATTGAATTCTCTTACGAGATTATTGGTAGTAGCTTAAGTTCAGATGGAAGTTTTATAATGCTATGTTTTCTGTGCCTCAGGAATTGCTAGACTTAGGAGAGACTGTTGGAACTCAAAGTAAAGGTCTTTCTCCGGAACTTATCAGCTTGCTTCCAACCTCAAAATGCAAGTTTGGAAGCTTCTTCTCAAGAAAAAAATCTGGGGAAAGGTAAACTTTTGCCTAACTCAGACTGTCCATTAAGAATTTTGATAATAGAAAGCATTAGAGGCAACTGAAAACTCACCTAGAAAGTAATAGTAAGATTACTAGACACTTAACAAAGCAGCTATCAGATGCAAAACTCTTTACATTTTGGCCTTTCCTCCTTCAGTTCATCTCTTTTAAGCTGTTCACCATTTTCTTATTTTGCTATTGTTTCGATACAGATGTGTAATTTGCCAGATGAAATACAAAAGAGGGGATAAGCAAATAAAACTGCTGTGCAAACATGCTTACCATTCTGAATGTATCACCAAATGGCTTGGCATCAATAAGGTCAATGTCTTCTTCAGAGCAAAAGTTTTTTTGGACTGTGCATGTTCAACTTTTCATATCTTGTCTCATACTTTTCTTATTGTGTTTTGTCAGGTATGCCCTGTTTGCAACAATGAGGTATTTGGAGAGGAATCAAGGAACTAACAGATCCAGACAAAAAGAAATTCACTGCTCTCTCCTATCTTTCGTTTACTTGTTTTTTTTTGGTTCGTTCGGCTTGTTTTTTCTTTTTGTACACGTAGGTTTAGTCAAGGACTAAGGCAGTTCCCTCATTCTCCATAGAAGTTTTGTTTACTAAAAAAACTGTATCATCCTAGCTTCTATAACAAGATAACTTGAATTTTAACTTGCGTCGTGTTGCTGAAGTTGGAACGTGTATATCTGTGATCTTAGCTCCCGTGTCTACGTTTGATGTTAATCCTCGTGCCCCCAAAATTATCATCAATTCCCCCAAACTATTTGGAATAGTGTTATGAATCTTATGATGCCTCCAAAACAGTCTCAATCTTCGAGATGCAGCCCATTAGCCCTTGTTTCTTTCTGTTAAGCTGTGAAATTTTTGGAGTAGCGTAATGTGCAGTGGAGTTTGCTATGGAATCACAGGATGGATTTAGGTGGTCGGATGAGATTCTACGAAGAATTATGCAGAGAAAGCAAAGTCCATGATACACAGAAGCTATAACCCTGTAGCATGCAACTTGATATACATATACACAGGGTAGGAGGTTGCTTTCCCAGTCTTGTTTTATAAAGTTGACAAACCGTAACTACTATTGAAGTCACCTCGAGCATAATCTGTTCACACCCACTTGAAGGTTGGAAGACAATTTAAGGTCCTTGAATAAGTGCATCTGGTAAATTCTGTTGTTTTCGGGAACTATTGGAGTCCTTTTTGACTAGAAGCATCCGAAGTTGACGGTGTGAAAACAAGCTCAATCTGTCTTTATGGAAAATGAAATTCCGATGCATCGGTTTTCCAAATTTCCTTTTAGTAGTTGGTTGGGATATGATTTCTCCAGTTTCGGGGGTTCCTATGCTAACATTTGCAGTCGACAAAACTTGGAGCGTTTGCCTCCAGTTTTTGCCCTTGGTTTTGTGGATAAAACTGGAGACCAAAAAGTACAGTGCAAAATGATACGACATATGGTGGGTCCCACGAATAAGCTACACAAAGATCGGAACATTGGGGAGTAAGTTACAAATTAGTCTCTGTAGTTTTGAGAAACCAATTAATCAGTCCTTCTCGTTTTAAAAACTAATTATTTAGACTTTTGTTGTTAAGTTTTTGTTAAATATGTCAAATTAACATCAGATATCAAAGATATCTTTCAACATATATATACTCATCCATTGAGATATATTTTGGTGTTTGAAAAGAAAGAAAGAAATGGAGTGGAGATTAATAAATCGAGAAGTGAAGATTTGAGGATAAAAATAACACATAAAAAAATGGTAATTTAGAAATTAAAAATATTGTAATAAGGATATATTATCACCACTTTAACCAAAACTTTCAAAATTTTTTAAATTATTGATAAAATTATGAGAATAAATGGTTAGTTTTTTTTTATTATTATTGAAATAGAACTAATAAATTCATTTTCCTAAACGAGAGGAACTAATTTATAAATTACTCAGAACATTTGTCGGGGTTTCCTCACCCCTAAATTTCACATATGACGATAATGACCAACGATTCTATTAGGAATTAGGAGCAAGGGCTACAACATTTTCGGCTCTTTTTGGAATGACTTTACTGAGCTATATAACATCTTCCTGACAGATCTAAGAAAAACATTCATAAAGAATCTACCTTGAAGTGATAAAAGAAAAAGAAAAACGAAGCAATTAACCCATTTAAACTAGGAAAAACTTCAATCTAATTCTTAAAGTATTACTTCATTATCAATTAAATTCCTAACCGTTTTAACTTTATCTACTTTGCTCCACATATAATCAATATTAAGTTAATATTACTTCTCCATCCATTCATTGCTAATAAAAGTTAAATTACTACGTTTTATTTACATGTGCTTATTAGTTACTTTTATCTAAAACGTCAAAATAAGCCTCAATATGTTACAAATGATAATTTTCCTTCAATATAAAAAAGTTTTAAGTGCCAAAATATTCTTTATTTTATACATTTGTTTATAACATTTCGTTACTTTGAGGAACATTTAGGACATTTTGCCACTTTTTTTTTTCCTTTATAGGATAAAATTATTTCAAAATTATTTATTGAAATTTTCTATTTTTTAAAAAAATTTAATTAAACCATTTTATTTTTAAAAATTTGCTAATTCAAATCTTTTGTTAATTGTTCAACTAATTACAAATAAACACATGACATTGTGAGTCCCACAAGATAATTTTTCTGTCTGAAAAAATAAAAAATAAAATTAAAAACTGATTTTTATAATAACCTAATACTTAGAATAAAAAAAGAAAAAAAAATACCAGCCCCCCACCCAAAATTTCCTCTTGTTTTTCAGTTTTTCTCAGAAAATCAAAGAAAACGAGAACAATTTTTTATTTTTAAGTAATTTTTTTATTTGGAAAAACCGGCCGGAGTCTTTGAATGTAATCAAGACATCTGAATTGTTACCATTTACATGAACTTCGGCACTTCGCTCAAAGTAATCCAAATCAAGAAGTCCTTGGCCTTAAAACCAGTCAAATTCTCGATCCTGCTGGGCTCAAAAGATGCCGTGACTTCATTGTTCACAGCATACGACTACCCTGTCAAACTTGTATTCTACATTACTCAAACAAAATAACATGCCATTCAATCAAATAGCCACGAATATCAAATACCTTCAATCACAACAATTCTTCCATGAATATCTATCACAAACCCACCAACAAACATTCCAAAATAATCACTTCTATCGAACAATATGAGTCAAAAATCAAAAAATCAGATCCAATAACCGCAACCAATCCAGCTAGAACAAAAATCCCCTCAATTTTTAATTTTTCCTTTTTCTCGAAAGTAGCTAAACTATACGGAAAAGAAAAGAGAGAGGAGAGAGATGAAACGACGATACTTTGGTGGTGGTTCCTGGCAATTTTGAGGGTTAGTGAATTGTAGCAGCTATGGTAATTTTGTGGTGGAGAGAGGAAGAGAATGAGAAAGAAGTAGAGAAAACAAGAAGAAAAATATAGATATACATATATGCTGTTTTAATCTAGGGTTTGAGTTTTAATAGAATTTTTTTTTCTCTCAACTACCATTGTTTTTATTTTGCTTGTCTAACACATGGATCTTGATGGTCTTAGGGCTAATCTTGACAAGAGATGGGTAGAGAAGCAACGATTAGAGGAAAAGCAGCGAAAACACGACATGAAAAAGTCTGAGGAAGGATATGGGAGAATCAAGAGGACAATCTGTTGTTTTGAGACGTTTACTGAAGAAGAAGATGTTGTAGATGAGGATGAAGACGAAGATGAAGAAGTGGAAATAATTGGGGGTGGGCTGTCGGTCTGTTTATCTTTCGTTTTTGGTATTATTTAAATTAGTTTTTTTTTTTTTGTGTGAATTATATACTATATTTTGAGTCCCATTACGGATCGGCTGTTATTAAGAGTAACATATATGATAGTTGATAGTGTTATAAAAAAAATTTGAATTAATAAATTTTGAAGAATAAATAATTTCAACCAAATTAAAAAAATTGAAAGATCTGAATATAAAAATTAAATAGTACATAGATAACCCAATTATCATTTAAGACAGATTTATTTTTTAATGTGGATTATGTTTGGTGCAATACTGTTAAAGTGAAAACGTTTGAGACTCGATTGATAATTGTGTACTACTTAGGGGATGACTTGAAGTTTTCCCTAGCAATTATTATCGAAACACAACACGAATTTTCAGCACCGTCGATCTGTGGGACACATAATAATCGAACGGTTCCCTGCCATTCAATGCCTGAGTCATGACCATCAGAACAGAGTTTATTTATTTATTAGTATAAATCCTCTAACGGTCACCAACAAAAACAAATAGCTCCACCAACGTTCACTCACTCTCTCTCTCTCTCTCTCCTCTGTGTGGCTCTCTGCAGCAACGGTTACATTTCTTACACTCTCTCTAACATCTGTCTCACAGTTTTAGGGTCTTTATTTCTCTCTCTAAAAGCCCTTCTCTCTTCACTGTAATATTTTTGCTCCATTTCTGGGTCTTGCATTTTTCTCAGCAATGGAACCAGCAAAAATAGACTGGAAGAGAATAGACTCTGTCTTTGTAGAAGATGGATTGTATGAGAACATAAATGCACCCAAGTGGTTTGATTTCTTTGCTCCCGAAGACTCCACAGATGATGGAGCCTGGTTTTGCAGACCTGGTATGAATCTATTCAAATACTTGACACTTTCTCTTTCTATGTTTTTCTCAAGTCTCTCATGCTTTGATGTTTTCCTGTTGCAGATTGTAACCATCCAAAGACAGCTGAGGATTTATTTAAAACCACGCCAACTTCTAAGGTCTTTTTCTTTAATCTCGAAGTCCTCAACTTTTTTGTTCTTTATTTACCTATGTTTGTGTTTTGTACTAGATTAAGAGTACCCATTTTAGCTGATTCATGGTTGATGTTAAATCTTGCATTTCTTTATGGAATCTGAAACAATATAAAACATGGGTCTCTAAATTTCTTTTCTTTTCGTTTCCCTTGCTTTTCTCAGTTGCCAAACACTGGTTAAATCCAGTTTAATCAATTGACCGTTAATTGACTCCTCTTTAAATTTATCTGGTTCAGTTTTCAAGCTCAGGTGATCATAAAGCTAGAAGTAGAACCCCTCTCAGCGACAAGAATCAAAGGTACTCACAAGTCACAAAGCACAAGAAGTTTTAAATTTTCTATCCAATTAAATATTTTTATTTTTTATTTTTTATCAAGAAAGACTTCAAGATTTAAGTAACTATCTGAAAAGTTCTCTTCTTTTTCCTTTTCTTTGGGTTCTTAGAGATGCAAAATTGAAGAGAAGGGGGCAAAGTCAGTCTTCATTTACTTCATGTGATTATAAAGCCAAATTCAATGAGGATAGCGAAAATCGGAATCCAAATTTATCAACACCAACAATTCACCATAAGTCTATGAAAGAAATGATCAAATCAAGCAGTGAAAAGAACAAACGTATTGATGATGTGCCACAAACCAGTGAGGCGCCAAGGCTAAAAAGTACACTATCAGCAAGGAATTTGTTTGCAGGGAAAGATATATTAGTTCATATTACTGAGTTTTGCAATGAATTGAAGAAGATTGCAACGAGAGCAAGGGAAAAAGAGAGTTTGAATGAGAAGGAGAGTCAAATGAGGGAGAAAAAAGATGTGTTGGCAGTGAATGAGGGTTCTGGAGAGGTTTTGGGAGAGTTGATTGCGAAGGAGAAAGAGAAAAAACCATTGCTGGAAAAGGATAGGGAGCAATCCGAAGGAAATGAAAACGGAAGTGCCAAAGAGAAGCAAAGGAGGAAGAAGTAAGTCATTTCCCTTTGTGCTTGTTTTTTTTTTTTTTTTTTTTAAATATTTGGGATTGATTTGAATTAATTAAGGTTTACCATTTAATTATGCTTTATTGCAACAGATTAAAGTTGGTTTGCTCTGATTTTCTATCTATCTTCATTATCTTTTAGATCAGCCTCTGTTGCATGCTTGATGTAAACAATCTGATTCATCAAATTCTTTTGTTGCTCGAAAAACAAATGGAAGAGTAACGGCAGAAAAAAGTTGAGGAATATTTATTCTCATGGCTGTTGACTTTTGTGGATTCTTCCCAAAGCTTAAAGATTTCCTTCAATCATAATAAGCAAATGACTTAAAGTCCAACTTAAAATCTTTACTCTTAAACAAACTTATACTTGAATATTATTTCAAGGAGCTAAATTTTTGTTGTTCAATTGCGCAGAAGAGTTGATGATGCAGAGAACATCCCGGTCCCTCTGAATTTGGCAAATGTGAAGAACAAAGGAGAGGAGCGCTTGCTGCAAATTCGGACCAATCCTCCTTCACCTCAATGCTTTTCTGCCAGTCGTGCACCAACCAAAACTACCCCTTCAAAGGCTTCAAGGTCCAGGCTTATGGTATGCAATGCATCTAGGTTCCATATTTAATATTGAAATTTTGGTTGCAGGGGTTTAAGGCAAGTTAATGATGACAATGACAATGACAAACATGGAAAACAAAAGAATTTAACTATCTAACTTTGGGCTCGAGTATGGATCAGAGATGACTGCTTGTTTCTTTCTTGCCAGTCTGTCCTAGGTTGCACCAGAAAACATGAGAGGAATTTTAAGGATAAACACCAGGTTAGAATTTGTTGAACAATGACTTAACTGACAGGCAGTAAATTCAATGAATATGTAATTTGAAACCAGTCAGTTAGGCATCACTTCAAGAGTTTTGGGTATCAACTAACTTTCAACCACACACATTGGATTACACCAATCAACATAAGTATAAACGTATGCACCAATGGAACAATAATTAAAATAGGTTAGCTCTCCAGTACTGATTCTCAGTTATTTTGAACGTTGAATCATGCCCTTAGACCCATACTTCACTTAGCTAGCCAGACTAAAACCTCTATTGTATTCTTCCACACTATCCCATCTTGTGACCGCCTTCTTCCCAGTAACACAACTCCCCTCAACTACATTGAGAACCAGGCCATCTCATTTCATCCTACCTCCATCTTGTGACTGTTCGATGTCACACTAACGTGATGATGTTCAATGATGCAGGAAAGGGGAATCCTTCAAGAATTGAAGAAGGATAAGGAAATCACAAAGGAGGAAACCGAAGACAAAGGCAGCCGTTCTTTCATTGCCGATGGAAGAGAATCAAGAGCTTTGGATGTTTTCTGGTTCCTGAAGCCCTGCACACTCTCCAGCTGAAATGTAGAACCCCCCAGCTCATCCAAATTCATTCTTTTAAAGATTTTTTTAGTCCAGTTGAAACTCATCCTTACATCTTGTTTCTTCTGTTATTCATTCATTCACACCTCACATTCTTTAATTCTTGTTCCTTAATTGATCACCTGATTCCTTCGATGTCAATAAGAGAAACTGTAAGGAAGCGTATTCAGACTCACTATAGCGAATAAAATTTGTATTTTTTTGAACTCCAAAGCTCATTAGTGATGCAAAACACACCAGGTTCTGTTATTTGGGGTTGTTGCTCTCGGTAGCTAATGCTTACCAAGATGGCTTGTTTTGGCATTTCATTATCCCCACAAAAAAGAAGGAAGGGTATAGTATACCAAGCTGATTGATGCTGGAAAATATGCATTTTTCTACATGCAGGCAGACAAAGCATGACTTCAAATTTCAAAAATTGTTATACAGCTGAACAAGAATTACAAACTTTTAGCTCCGATACTTGTCTGTCTTTGTCTTTCAAACTAGCATGACAATTAAAAAAATAAAAAAAAAAAAGACCATACAACGACACCAAAAAGTTCCCTTGCTTATTGGGTCAAACTCATGCACCGAACTTGCTGAAAACTTCACATTTTGGAAGGGATACTGTTTTGTATATTGTATTGCCATCAATCCCAGAGCATCTAAAGCAAAAAATCAACTGTGAATCCTCTGTGCCAATATTTTGAATCATGCCAAACCATCTCTTCTGTGAAAATCATCGGCGCTTAAGGTCTTTCCATGTGTAGCTCTCGTCCTAAAGTATATATATTACTCCGAGTTTGGCTCTTGAACAATATCTGCTGCATAGTTAGCAAAAACGACTAAATGCCAAACTTTGCCATCCGATTTCAGATATACAACTGCTGTTTTTTTGTCCTAACAAAAAGAAGCCACTCGGACACCAATAGCGTTATCTCTTTGTTTTTTTGTTTTTGCTTCTGTTTTAGATGGATTACAAACCTAACTTACATGCTAACCAGTAACCATTCCCCTCTATTATCTTCATCCTTACCCTATAACATATACATCCATCCACGTATTTTTATTTTCTCCTTCGTCTACCAAAATCTCATCGTTCTATTATGCCCCGTTCTAGTCTTCCAAAACAATAAAAACAACTACTATGTCACATTCCTGTATTATTATAACAGAAAAGAAGGCACCTAGCTTTATCACAACCCCCTGCAGGTTCAATGATTTTATAATGGGAAAGAAGATGCCTCCTATTTTATCCTCTCCTTTAGAAATTAATGTTCTTGCAAATGACCTTCTTTTTTTCCTTCTTCTGAGCAAGAGTCAAGAGGAAACAATTTAACAAAAATTACCTTAAAAAAACCCAAAATTCAGAATTCTACTTCATCTTGATTGATAACAAAAAGCAATCCCCATCTCCAAGACCCTAGTTTTCACATGGAGAAGGAACCCAAGAAGAGAGAAATCAGAAATCATCCTTTATTTGCTTTTAATTATTATACAGCATCCTTGCAATCCTCAGGCATGTCACCATAATACAAAATCCCGCACAAAATCATTAACACATCCAACAAAACTAGAAGTAACAACAACTTATTACAATCTACATCAGTTCTCAGACAATAAAAATAAACGAGAGAGAGAGAGAGAGAAAAAAGAATGTACACGAACATCCTCTTCTACTCTGACCTGAAATTGCAAAGCAAAACATCCAATAACCTAGACCACACGTGCCTTGCACGCGGATAGAACCTGGCAGTATAACCTCTTGACTCCCTTAACAGATCTTCCATGGTTTCCACAAAGAGATTCAAGCTCCTCACAGGTGGAATGTACAAAGTCAAAGGTACGGCAGAGAAAGCCACCGTAAAGAAAAGCTGCAACATCATATAATTAAGCCAAATCCACCAAAAAAAAAGTTGTTTCTAAAGCTAAACTATAAAGGGTTCTTGGTTATTGATAAAAATATTCGGGGTTTCGAAGAGAAGAGGGGAGAGGTTTGGGCTCTCTGTTTTTCTTGGTAGATCTCGCGCAAGTTTTGAAGGTGAAAGGATTTGGAAATTTGGACAGTTTCCAGATTTAGTAGAACTCTTTATTACACCAAAAAGCTGAGGAAAGAGAGAGATCAGACTAACAGGAAGTTCTGGAAATCTGAAGAAGTTCAGATTGAAATGTTCTCGTTGCTAAACGATAATGACAAAATAAACAAGAAACTTCAAGATAAAAGAGAAGAATTACAAGTGTAAGTGCAGGACCAGTAGTTGGGTGTGGAGGGCTGACTTTTAAATTTAATTAATTATGCTTTTCATCAAGTTGCCTTTTCTTTATCATTAAGATTTTCTGTTTGTTACTTATCTATTATGAATTGTTACATGTTAAAAAAAATTGTTATATATTTATTTTGTAAAGTAATAGCAGTATACTATATACAAAGCTACTGTCTTATAACAATTTGTAGCTTTACGCTCCTGAAATTTTAGATTTCCATCTGTATTTTCTGATGACAATTAATCGTTTTCATGTGATAGATGTATCAATGTGATGATATGATGTGATTATTGACGAATCAAGTGATTCATTAATGTTGTGATTAATTAAAAAAAATTTACTTGATGAAAAAGGCAAGTTGTGAATGACATTCAATGAATCAAATGATTAACCATGATGATTTTTCTGATCCTCATTAATTATTATTAATTTTCTTGTCAAAATCGATAAAAAGTATTTTATTGATAAAAAATAATAATACATCATTACAATGAATACATAAAATTATAACAATTGACTAAATATATGACTTGTAGCGTGAAGGAGGATTAAAAAAATAAAATAAAAATATATTCAAACCGTGACACTTGACATATATATATATATATATATATATATATATATATATATATATATATATATATATATATATATATATCAAATTAAAAAAAAAAACTATACCTGGAACTACTCTTTCGTTTTTTCTATTAAAAAAAAAATATTTTTGTCACTTTTTTTGGAATCTTCACTATAATTGAAGCGAGATGAATTTTAGACTAATATGAGTTAGATACTCGCATTACGTTACGGTTAGACAATCGTTATGTATTTAAGGTCAACGATTTATATGATATAGTACGAGCAAAAATCTTATTTTTCATAATTAATGTAACTTAAATCTATTTACCGAGAAAAATATTTTGATTTATATATATTTATTAACAAAATAATTAATACTATTAGCATAAAAAATTATATTTGAATAATTGAAAGATTCTTTCAAAACATTATTTTAATTATTTTATTTAAAAAAGATTGATTTTAGAACACAAAAAGGAATAAATAACAAATAACTGGTGTTATGTGTGCAAATACATAATTAATTTATAACAAAACTAATGATATATATATTTTAATTATTTTATTTAAAAATATTAATTTTAGAATATATATAAAAATAAATTATAAATAATTAGTGTTATGTATGTAAGGTCAACAATATGTATGGCGTAGTGCGAGTAAAAATCTTATTTTTCACAATTAATTTAAATCAAATCTATTTGCTAAGCAAAATCTTTTGATTTGTATATATTTATTAACAAAATAATCAATAATATTAGCATAAAAAACTATATTTGAATAATTGAAAGGTTCTTTCAAAACATTATTTTATTTAAAAAAGATTGGTTTTAGAACACAAAAAATAATAAATAACAAATAACCGATGTTATGTGTGCAAATACATAATTAATTTATAACAAAACTAATGATATATATTTTAATTATTTTATTTCAAAATATTAATTTTAGAATATAAAAAGAATAAATTATATATATATATATATACTCGGTAGCTTCATAGTATATAGTATAAACAAATATTTAAAAAAAAATCTAAATTGTATGAAATATATTAAAGTTAATAAATTGAAATAAAAATTAATACAAAATTGATTCTCATAAATTTGACTTCTTAATTTATGATGAAAAAGATTCTTGAATTGCAAATTAAATTATAAATTGGTCCATCTCGTTTTGAAAATGAATTAATTAATCCTTTTGGTTTCAAAAATAAAATTTTTAATTTTTTAATTGATGCTGACCAAGAATAATTTATTTTTTTATTTTCAAAAATGTCTTTTTTATCATATTTTTACTTTTTTTTTATTCTTTCTCTATTTCTTACAACAAAAAATAGAACCATTGATATAGCAAAAAGGAAAAAAATATATATATTTTTTAAAATCAAATGAACTAATGGTGTTATATATGCGAATACATAATTAATTTTCAATATATATATACATCACCGACCACGATGACACCGTTGGAGGAGTGGCATTATAAACTCACGGAAAACAATTTTTTTCAACAATTAAGATATTTTCGGATAATATGAAGGTCAATTAAAATTAATTTTATTTTCAAATAATTTTAAAAACATATTTTATATATCAATTTGATATATTAAAATAAATTTAATAATTTTTTAATATTAATTCTAATATCTAAATTAAAAAAAGAAAAAAAGTAAACTTCAATCTTATTTGTTTGTTGTACACATCCCTTCGGTATGCATAAAGCTTAATATTTTTTTTCGTGTTACACTTGCGGGTTGAATAAAATATATAAAATTATTTTAAAAAAGTAATTATAGTTTAATAATCTGTATTATGGTCTTAATCTATAAAGATATATGCAATCAAAAGTAAAAATATATATATTTATAGTTTTTTAATCAAAATTTTATATTTAACTATTTCTTATTTATGTTTTTCATAATTTTTTTGTTAGAAAAAGGATTTATTCTTGCTAATTTATGGATTATTAATTAAAAAAATAAAAAAATTTAAAAAAACTTTATTATTTTATAAGATTGTGTAAAAAAACTAAAGTGATAGTTAATAAAAACTTACATAGAATTGAACAAATAAAAAATTTCTTTTTTTATTTTTATTTAATGTCGATGATAATATCGGTTTTTGAAAGAATGTGAATTAGATTTTTATATATTTATTTGCAAAAGAATGAACAATATTAAAATAAAAGACTATATTAATTTGAATCATTGAGTGGTTAAACCAAAATATTATTTTAATTATTTAATTTCAAATAAATTAATTTTAAAATATTGTAAGATAAATAAATAAATAGTAAATACTTTATGTAATAGTAGTTGCATAATTAATTTCTAAAAAAAATAACGATTCAATATTTTTTATATATCATAACTATACTGAGTGGGTTCAGAGTTTTCAACATAAAATAAAAAACACTATAAAAAAATTTACTTGCAAGGAATATATTGACTAAATTTGAAGTTAATAGAGTAAAATAAAAATTATTAAAAAATTTATTTTGATAAATTTTGATTATATATATACAAAAAAAAATAAAAACAAAACATGTGAATTCTTTTTCTTTTATTTTTTCCCTCATTATTAAATAATTTTTTATTTCTATGCTATACATGACTAGTCCTTAAATACGGGTCTCGCACGCGAGCAACCATTTTTTTTACATTTAAATTTCTATTATTAATTAACTAATTTGATTTTTAAAAAAATCAAGAAAAAATTATTTGAAATACACTTTTAATCTAAAAAATTATTTTAGACAAATTATATAAATTTATTTTTAAAAGAAAAAATAATCATGTTCTAAAAATTTATTTCAAAATCTATCCATATAGAAAAATAAATCAAAATTATCAGTAAATATAATTTTAAATTAATTGGATGAAAATTTTTAAAAAAAGACAAATTAAAGTAGTACATTTTGAATAATAAAAGTAATTTAATCTAAAAATATATTTTAGACAAATTATATATATTAATCATGTCACTATAATTTAAAATTTATTTTTTAAAAGAAAAATAATCACGTTCTAAAAATTTATTTCAAAACATATACATATAGAAAGATAAATCAAAACTTTCGATAGATATAATTTTAAATTAATTGGATGAGAATTAAAAAAAAAAGATAAATTAAAGTAGTACATTTTGAATAATAAAAAAAATTAACAAAAAATACTAAAATAAAATCGAACCAATCAAAATGCAATTGAAGTTTGAAATCGAAAAAAAAATACATAGAAAAATTAAGGATCAAAATATTACAACGAGTACCATGAACGAGTGAAAGAAATAATGATTTCTAGGTATGTGAATAATGATTTATGAATATGTAAATAATATTATGAACCGTAAAAATTCATTTTGTTTTAATATTTTTTATAAATAAATAGTAAAAACTCATTATGTTTTAGTATTTTTTATTATAATACAATTATCACAAAGGCCCAAAGAGCCCAAAGATAAGGATAGCGTTCTCCATTTCTTTTCTAATTCCTTCTTCTCTTATACCTAAAAGAACCAAAACCAGCATAGCAGAAGGTAGCTTAATGCCTGGCAATCTTGCTGGTATTTTTCTGGCAATCATTGTTTAATAATCTCACTGGTAAACAAATGATTACAACATTTATTAATCCAAAGATGCAAAGGAGGGATTGGTAGCTTAAATAGCGCGGCATTGAGTTTATTCCTCGAAGGTATCGGCTCATACTATCGAATAGTCAGGCTACAATAATTTTCTTATGAATTTTTTATCCATATATTGTTAATTTTTGTTTCATTAAATTAAAAACATAGATAACAGTATAACTTTATGAACTTGAAAATAGAAACGAGGCACGGAATTTTCTTCCATGACTTATAGCTAAATAATACTTGGTCCCTATTTGTCGAAGAAGTAATAATTCTAGGACTCAGGAGTAAATGCTCCATGATTAAACGAGGTGGGATGATGTCAAAATTGGTAACTTCATACAGTCATACTACAATTTTGGTGTCATTTAATTTGTTTCATGTCTTTATTCATGTATAAGAATTAGGAAAATTATTACACTCTAAAAAAAGGAAAAACATTGCACGGTTTATGAAGATAAAAATTATCACTTCCTTTGTGCTAAAAAAATCATCTTTTTGTTTTTTTTTGCATAGTTAAAAAAATATTAATTTTTATGTCATATCAATATTTTTATTAATATATATATATATATATTTTAAAATGCTATTTTTTAAAAAATTGTTAGTTATTAAATTAAATTTTGTATTACATAAAATTAATATCAATTTGAGAAAAAATATATCCAAAATTAAAATGATAAATAAAAATATTAAATTAATCGATGAATAATTTTAAACTAAGTATTAAAAAATAACATACTAATGAAAATATTTTACTTTCAAAATTTTGATATGCAATACAGTTTTTATAAGAATAAATATTTTTTTAAATATATATATATATATATATATATATATATATATATATATATATATAAAGAGGAAAGTAAGAATAATATTGATTTTTTGTCGTGAAGAACAAGAAAGTAAAAAAAATTGATTTTCTTTATCTACTTAGATTTTTTTTTAAATACATTTTTTAAAGTTTTAAATAAACAAATATTTTAATATAAATATAAATAAATAATGAAAACACAATTTTTTTTTGGGAGAGAAAGAGAGATAAAGTAGATTAATTGATGCAATAAACTCCATTGTTATTATTATTATTTTCTCCCTCTTTAACCAACCGCTCATTGTATCTGAGCATACAAGTATGGTTCCAAAGAGAAAAAATTTGCATGTTAGCAAATTATATATGTAGGTAGACGGTGCATCAGATTTGCGTGGGCATGGACGGGGCATACGACGCTTCCATGAAGGCCACGTATTCTTCTCCGAAGAGCAGTCCTTAAAAAATTCGACACCATGTTTTGTGTGAAGAATGCGTTCACATGATTTCTGAGTGCGCGGCCTCCTTTTTAGCTAATTGCTTTACTCTTCGAGAAAACTAATGTTTACTTTTTAAACATATTCTAAATAGCTTAATTTTTAACAAATGATACCGATATAAATCATGTATTTTTTCATAAATTATAAATTAAATTTATAATTTTTTAATTTAGATAATAAAAATATTTTTAAATCAGTTTGTGGATTAATTAACACTAAATTTCTTTTTAGATAATTTTAAAAATATATTCTTTACATTGATCGAATACAATTACTTATTTTTAATTGCACAGTGTCCTTTTAAAGAATGAATATTTTTATGGCCAGTTTTTAATTTCTAAACTTGAATTCTTAGGTAAGCTTTCTACATTTCATTTCAACATCAAACTCATCAAAACATATCCTATCTGATTTAGACTTCAAACTATGAGTATACTTAAATCGTTTTTTTTATTATTTATAAATCTAAGTTATTTTTTAACTTTTAATATAAAAAAGAATAATAATTATATTTAATTAGGAAGAACTATTCAATAAGATTGAAAGAATTGTTACAAACTTTTGCTTTAATCGAACATTAAAATACAAATAATTTAAATTTATTGTTTTTTACTTACACCATTAAGCTAGACTTACGGCGGACTCTTAAATTATTAGGTTAGGCTACTAAACCCAAATCCATATTAGTGGATAATGGCCCAAACTGAAGCTCGACTTATAGCACAGATCAAGAAATACGAAGGATAGGGGAAATTGGAAAAGACCGATTGCTTATATAAACAAAAAAGCAATTAAATTAAAGAAAGTACTAAAAATCAGTAATCTTTGATTTGGAAACCGAGAGGACGAATGACATGTCGGACACTACCGAACATTTCCAGCACCGTAATCAAGCAGAGTTACTACTGCAAAATCCATTAAGAAAAAAAAGTTTCAGGAATTGATGAAATTATGCAGATGTTTAAAGAGAGAGGAAGATAAAGGGGAAGTGGTTACCTGAATCATCCTTGGAGGCACGAACTGAGAGATTTCTGAGTGACTTAAACTTCGAAGAAAATATATCGAAAATTAAAAAGGTAAATAAAAAATCATTAAATTAATTAACAAACAATTTTAAACTAATTAATAGAAAATAACATACTAATAAAAATATTTTATTTTCAAAATTTTGATATGCAGTACAGTTTTTATATATAAGGGGAAAGTACTAATAATATTGATTTTTTGTCATGAAGAACAAGAAAGGAAAAAAATGATTTTATTTATCTATTAAGATATTTTTTAAAAATACATTATTTAAAGTTTTAAATAAACAAATATTTTAATATAAATATAAATAAATAATAAAAAAGACAATTTTTTCAGGAGAGAGAAAAAGTAGATTAATTGATGCAATAAACTCCATTATTATTATGTTGTTTCTCTCTTTAACCAACCGCTCATTGTATCTGAGTATACAAGTATCGTTCAAAAAAGAAAAAAAGTTGCATGTTGGCAAATTATATTCAGACGTAGACGGTGCATAAGATTTGTGTGGACTGGAAGGGGCATACGACGCTTCCATGGAGGCCACGTATTCTTCTCCCAAGCGCAAGTCCTTCACGAAAATTCGTCACCATGTTAACGCTTCCATGCGTTCACATGGTTTCTGAGTAGGCTTCGTTGGTTATGTACTTTAAGTCAATCTCGTGCGGCCTCCTTTTGAGCGAATTGCTTTACTCTTCGAGAAACTAATGTTTACTTTTTTAAACATATTCTAAATAGCTTCATTTTTAACAAACGATACGCATATAAATCATGTATTTTTTTTCATATGTTATAAATTTAATTTATAAATATCTATTTTTTTAATTCTTGACAGTAAAAATATTTTTAAATCAGTTTGTGCATTAATTAAAACTAATTTTTTTGGATAATTTTACAAATATATTCTTTACATTGATCTAATACAATTACTTATTTTTAATTGCATTGTATCATTCTAAAGGATAAAAATTTATTTTTATGGCCGATTTTTAATTTCTAAACTTGAATTCTTAGGTAAGCTTTCTACATTTCATTTCAACATCAAACTCATTAAAATATATCCTCTTTGATTTAGACTTTAAACTATGAGTATACTTAATCATTTTTTTATTATTTATAAATCTAAGTTATTTTTTAACTTTTAATATAAACAAGAATAATAATTATATTTAATTCGGAGGAACTATTCAATTAGATTAAAAGAATTGTTATAAACTTTTGCTTTAATCGAACATTAAAATACAAATATTTTAAATTTATTGTTTTTTACTTACACCATTAAGCTAGACTTACGCCGGACTCTTAAATTATTAAGTTAGGCTACTAAACCCAAATCCATATCAGTGGATAATTGCCCAAACTGATGCCCTACTTATGGCCCAGATCAAGAAATAAGAAGATTAGGGTAAATTGAAAAAGGGCGGCTGCCGAGTGAAGCGAGTCACTCACGACATAGAAAAATAGTACAAGTCCAAGTCAATAGCTGAAAATTAACAGGAGATCAAAGACTGAGGACCCGCAAGTTGAAGCTTTAGGTTTGAGAAGCTGCAATGGAGGCAGCACCGTTTACTTCTCCGTCTTCTCCCTTCAAAACTCCATCCATCTCCTCCTCCTCTTCTTCTTTTATATCTCTTTCAAGATTTTTTTCTAGAAACCGCTCCACTTCGAAGTTCAAGTCACTTGGAAATCTCTCAGTTCGTGCCTCCAATGATGATTCAGGTGACCACTTCCCCTGATCTTCCTCTCTCTTTAAACATCTGCACAATGTCATCAATTCCTGAAACGTTTTTTTTTCTTAATGGATTTTGCTGTAGTGACTCTGCTTGACTATGGTGCTGGAAATGTCCGTAGTGTCAGAAATGCCATTCGTCGTCTCGGTTTCCAGATCAAAGATGTACTGATTTTTAGTACTTTCTTTAATTTAATTCCTGTTTTGCTTATTTAAGTAATGTAGTACTTATGATTAGATTTGTTCTGGAAAAATGAAATAAAAACAAACAGGTGCAAACTCCGAAAGACATTCTAAATGCAAGGCGTCTTATATTTCCTGGTGTTGGGGCTTTTGCACCTGCTATGGATGTCCTTAACAATACTGGGTATTTCTGTCTGTATGTCTTTTGTCTTTTCCAGTTGTTGTTGTTTGTGCTGGTATTTAATGATTCTCCGTTTCTTTGTTGGTTTAACATGTGCAGGATGGGTGAAGCACTGTGTACCTACATTCAGAATGATCGTCCGTTTTTAGGCATTTGTCTTGGACTTCAGCTACTTTTTGAGTCCAGCGACGAGAATGGTCCAGGTCAGTCTGTCAGCTTTGACTTTGTTCTTTCTCTATTTTTTCGTTTCTTTATAGAATACTTGAATTTCTAGTTCTACTGCATTTGCCTCAGTGGGTGGTCTTGGTCTGATTCCTGGCGTGGTGGGGCGTTTTGACTCCTCAAATGGTTTCAGAGTACCTCATATTGGTTGGAATGCTTTGCAAATCACTAAAGACTCTGAAATTTTGGATGAAATTGGAAACCGCCATGTGTATTTTGTTCACTCTTATCGTGCCATGCCAGTGCGTCTTTCTTTTTCTCATCTCATCTTATTAGTGATCTTGTTGCATAATTCTGCTATGTATATATTTGGCTTATGAGCATTCCTTTGCAGTCAAATGAAAATAAAGAGTGGATTTCCTCTACCTGCAATTATGGTGATGAATTTATAGCATCTGTTAGAAGGGGAAATGTGCATGCTGTTCAATTTCATCCAGAAAAGAGTGGAGGCAAGCATTTCATAACCCCTGCTTTTTTTTTTTTTTTTTTTTTTTAACATATGGTTTGTGAACATGATTAAATTTCAGCTGCGTCTTATTAACAATCTTGAAGATTGCTTCGTTGTCCTTCTTTATTCGGGGGGCTTATATTTTCCTTTGAGACTTTGCCATTGGATTTGGACGCTTTTTGCCCTGATGATCTTGAATCTCTTGCATATGTGGTGGATAATGTATGGAAAATATATCTAGGATAATTTTCTTGTTTTCTGCTTGAGATTAGGTGGCTGGTTCTCTCTGATATTATGTACAGTAACTAATTTTAGCATGTGAATGTTAACAAGACTTCCTATTTAACACTGAGTGATATTATCTCAAATGAATGTCACAGATGTGGGTCTTTCAATATTGAGGAGGTTTTTGCTTCCAAAGTCATCTTTGACAGAGGTAGACTCTGTACTCTGAAATCGATGCAACTTCCATGCCTCTTAACTTCTTTATTGAAACATCTAATGAAACAAAACTTAATTTGAAGACAGAAGCATACTGAAAGGAAGGCATCAAAACTTGCAAAGAGGGTAATATTTGCTAAACTCAAGTTTTATTTAAGTTGTTTCAAATTTTCCTTTTTCTTGCTACAATTTTTTGTTGTGCAACGACACTTAATCTGAACAGTTTTAATGTTTTCTCGTCCTTGAATTTGGCATCTGTTTGGATTTGACTTTTTGGATAACTTTAGATTTTAAGAACTGTTATATGCTGAGGTGATTTCTGTGGGATAGTACAATGTTTTGTAGCCATTTAAAGGACTATAGAGATTCTCTTAGCTGATAATTAGTGCGACTGTTGTGTCCTCTCTCTGTCTGTCTTTTTTTTTTTTTTTAATTTAAAATTTGGTTTTTCTTTTCCCTTAAAGAGGATCCTTTGTTCTCCTACTTTTCCTAGAATATTCTTTTTAGATAGATAAAAATTCTACTGAAGATATAAATGAGGCATGATTGCATAGTAGAGGATAAGGCATCCTCTGGAAGTATGAATGCAGAAGATCAAAGTGAAAGGGTCTTCTTGTTGCATTGTGTGCTAAATAAGGAAACTCCTAGAAAGGCCCCTGAGGAATTTCACCATAAGGAAGCAAAGTGACACTTCTATCCCAGAGTAACTGCTTGGATAAATGAACTTGAACTAATCATTTTTTATCCAAGCACATGTAAGTCTGTGTGTGTTCTTCATAAGGTTCTACACTCAGTGATATTGCTTCTCTTCAGGTAATTGCTTGTCTTGATGTGAGGACAAATGATGAAGGAGATCTTGTGGTAACCAAAGGAGATCAGTACAATGTAAGAGAACATGCAGAAAAGAATGAGGTATGATTTGGAGTACAACTTGCATTACGTGGGATCGGCATGTGGCTAGAGACCACTGCATGTTGAAAGTGCTAGTAGAAAAAATTAGCATCAGCACTTTATGAAACCTTGAAATGAGACAAAGATATTATGCATTTTAAGCAAACATACATCTTACTTTTTTGAATTAAGTTGTTAAATTCTTTATCTGTTTTGTCTGCGTTTCTGTCTTGGACATGCTTCAGAAGTTCATTTCTTAAGGTTGGAGGCCTTTATGTTTGATGAATAGTTTTTTTCAATTGGAAATGAATGTTGCAATTGTGGAATTGAATTTCTCTTTCTGACTCCAGTTACATCTCTTAAGGTGAATGTTTTTGTGTTGTGCTGATGAATTAATGTCTTCAACTGATAAAAGAAGTCGTTGATTCTATTTCCTCAAGGAAAAAAAAGGGAAAGAAATTGATGATTCTAAGTGAATTCAGTTCTGATCGTTTCCTAAATTGTAACCGTTGATGGAAGTATTTATTTCCATCTCATTAATGGTTCTATTGGTGTGGATTTTTTTAGGTTAGAAACCTTGGCAAGCCAGTGGAGCTTGCTGGACAGTATTACAAAGACGGTGCTGATGAGGTATGCTTTTTTACCCAACTTAATTTGGTCCATATAGTACCCAGGGAGCAGTACTGTGCTTAATGTGCTAATATTGAATTTCAGATTAGTTTTTTGAATATCACTGGCTTTCGTGACTTTCCCTTGGGTGATCTGCCAATGTTGCAGGTTTGTTTTGTAGCTATTTAACTAAATGCTAAAATATTGTTGGTAACTTGTAGACAGAAGTCTCATTTGTCCATAATTTTCATCTTTTTGCCATGCTCATGAAGGTTTTGAGATGCGCTTCAGAAAATGTTTTTGTGCCATTGACAGTTGGAGGTGGAATTAGAGATTTTACAGATTCGAATGGCAGGTCTGATTTCTTGGTTATGTGGCAGATCAATGTTATGGTTTAACATTTTTCAATTTGTATGCATACAATCTTTCCAATAATTTCCCTAATTTTAAAGTTTCCTTGTCATCTTTATATGTCATTAATGGTTAGTTAGGTGTGTGGGCATATTATTATTAAGCCATGCTCCTGTTCAGGTATTATTCTAGCATGGAAGTTGCATCAGAATATTTCAGGTCTGGGGCTGATAAGATTTCTATTGGAAGTGATGCAGTCCATTTTGCTGAAGAATATTTAAAAACTAAGGTATGCAGTTGGTGTAGAATCACCAACAAGAACGGAGATCAAAATAACTAATTCTCTGAGAAAACTCAATTTATTTGATCAATAGTCATAACAACAACCGAATATCTACGTAGGTGCATATTTATAGGCACCAGACCAAATAAAATAAGGAAACGTAAATCTAATTTATAATAGTAGGAAAATTAAAGATTGTATGCATAGATGTTAAATTCTAATACTCCTATTTTAACTACTAGATATTAAATAATAATACTCCTAAATAGCACTAAAAATCTAGAATAATCATACAACACTAAAGTTCCTAAATAATCAAATATTAATTCCCAATGTCTTTCTCCATTCCCCATCAGCAGTACTTCCCAGTACCTATTTACTTTAAAGTTCTGTTTCGTCCACTTCCTTGTGTTTTCCTCCTAATTGCCCTTGGACTCCACTTGTAGGTAAAGACTGGGAAGAGCAGCATAGAACAGATATCAAGAGTTTATGGAAATCAGGTATTTTCATGTGTAGTTTGAAATATATGCATCATCATATTATTTGGCAAGAATTGTTGTCTTTTGTAACCCATAAATGCTCTTAAACTGGTATCTAGAGTAGCAGATGATAAAAGGATGCCGATATTCACATGTTTCTTGTCAAATGATTATGGTCGACTAGTTGGGAAATTTATCATTTTAGTTTATTAACAAAACATATTTTATTTAGATGCTGGGTGCCAAATGTAGTTGGCTTCATTTCTGTATAGCATTTTACTAACTAAAATTCTGTTTCTAGTTTGGTTCTTTATGCATGTTCATGAACTAAATTAAGTTCACTGGTTTTTTATGGCCTTGGCATAACTTTCTCTTCTAGCATATAATCATTTTCTGGTGGTTGGATTCTTCAATTTTGTACTCTCAATTCTTTTTTTCCTCCTTTCCCCCTTCAAAAATTAGTTTTAAGTTCTGTACTACTGCAATGGGGAGATGGAAATGGAAGTTTTTCTTGCACTTATCAAGGTACATAGACATGGTAGTGTCATTTAATCTGATTGGGTTTTTTGCATCATTTCAACTTTATTGCATCAGCAGAAGAACATCTATGGTGATTGGTTGATGTAAAAGCTTGTGTTCGTGAAGCTGGCTTATATTTTATCCAAGTCGGCTTATAGAATGTTATCAGTATTGCTGGAAAACATAGATCAATTTTTCTTTCCATTGACATGACATGAGTCAATACTTGATTGCAGGCTGTTGTTGTAAGTATTGACCCTCGTAGAGTGTACCTCAATGATCCTAGTGATGTGGAGTTCGAGTGTGTTAGGTTGACTAACCCAGGTATGGAGAATGTGCTTGTGGTAACTAATTTGACTGTTTTACGATCTGCTATTTGAATACATATTTGCTGGTTGTTCATGTTATTCTTGAAATCCATAAGAAGATCCAAAAAGCCCTTGCGATTGGTTCAACTGCTAAAATGGTAGAATGGGTGCGTGGTAGATTGATCCTATATAAAAAAAATTTCCAAGTAAAGATGATATTGGTGGTAATAATAACAAGATCCAATGTCTCACTTGATATCTAATGGATCCTTGCACATTAAAGTTGTTTAACTGTTATTCACCATTTACCTTTTTCTGTTTCCAAGGTGATAGCCATGCTTTTAGCTCTCACCATCCATTTCCTTCTTATGCTTCCTAATAGAATTTCTTGATGGGCATGATGTGTTGTGTGTATGCATAAGAGAGTTGTGCACTGTTCTCTGTAACCAGATTCTACATTGAATGCTCATTAAGTTTTCACAATTTTTTCAGGTCCAAATGGAGAAGAATATGCCTGGTATCAATGCACGGTAAGCTTTATTTTTTCTTCATGCAATTGAGACTGAACCTTATTTCTGGAATGTTGATATTTTTCAATTGCACTCTGTTTGACTTGGTTTCTAGCTATCAATTCCGGTAAAATTATAAAGCTTTTAAAAGCCATAACATGCATTTGATTGTGTGCACTAGCATGCCGTTTACATATGTTGGGTGCATACATGTAAAACGAAGGTAAAATTTCTGCTATCCTATTACAAGATTGCATGCTTAAATAACTTGACTGCTTTTGGAAGACCATAAATTAAATATGTTCCTGAATTATCAAATTTTAGTCAGTCAAACAGAATTTTGTCATAACCACCACCCACCTTGGCTTCAGTGCTGATGGTGGGTGGCTTGCGGAAATTGTAATATGAGATGCTACAAATTCTCTGTACAGTCCAAAATTAATTGACCATTTCTTTCACTTGTTTTTTTCCGCATTTGTTAAGATTAATGGTGGGCGAGAAGGTCGACCAATTGGAGCTTATGAACTTGCAAAAGCTGTTGAAGAGCTGGGGGCTGGAGAAATATTACTGAATTGCATTGACTGTGATGGTGAGGACTCTTATTTCTCAACTTCAAAATAATTCTTCAGAAAATGTATCATGACTGATCCTTTTTTAATCTTCCTGAAAGTGATGGCATTAGTTTGTGGTTTTCAATGATTTCAAGGCTGTTTCTTTGAAACCATAGATTACATTTTGATGGTCGCAAATTGTTGGATTTTTTTTGCTGTGTCATTTTTATGTAGAAAATAGGAATCCATTTCTTTCCTTGACCATTTCAACGGGTTTCTAGAGGCTTTATTGTTCCCTTCAGTGCATGATGCATTTGTATATCGTGTTCGGTGTGCTTCTGAATTGATATGTTGTTTCTTTCAATTTTAAAAATGACGTGTGTTGCCTTTCAGGTCAAGGGAAGGGATTTGATATAGATCTAGTAAAGATGATCTCTGATGCTGTGAGCATCCCTGTGATTGCAAGTAGTGGTGCAGGTGCTGCTGAACACTTCTCAGATGTCTTCTCAAAGACAAATGCATCTGCTGCCCTCGCTGCAGGCATTTTCCACAGGAAAGAGGTATGGCTAACAATCGTTTGAGTGCTTTTTTAGTATCCAAATACGGATGAAGATGATTTTCGTCATCATTTGAATTTTTTAAGCCGTTTAATTGATGAAAAAAACCCTTTTTTTTCTTTTGTTTTTTGAGAAAGAAAACATGCTGTTTTTTTATTTTTTAATTGCTGAATGCATTTCAGATTTTAAATTGCACCAAATCTTTCCTTTACCTTTGCCATGAGATGGCATATATTGCATTTGATCAACCATTAGAGTCAGAGTTCCTGTAATGTGAAATGTAACAACATGGAAATCTCAAGTTGCTGCGCCCATAACACCATACTTTTTGCTTCTAGCAAATGGAGCTTTAGGCATATTCTGTTCTTTCATGTAATCTTTTTTGTTGGTTTAATCGGTTTGCAAAATCTCAGACTTTCTGGCTTGCAGGTGCCCATTCAGTCTGTAAAAGAGCACTTGTTGAAGGAAGGCATAGAAGTCAGGATCTAATTCAATTTCGTGTCCTATATTATCATGCACCGATAAAGTCAGCGTTGAGGTGAATCTCTCTGCTTTTCTTTCACCTTTTCCTTTTCCTTCTACCAAGAAACTGTAGAAAACTTGGCATTATCAGCAAAACTTAAAAGAGTCTTATGCGTGTGATGTGGAAATTGTCCTTCTCATGGAAATTTCACGGACATCGTAGGAAACAGAAAAAAAAATGCTAATGTTAAATTACTTAGCTATGTTCTTTTGCTTGTACTAGACACTGTCCATTGCTTTGAATAAAAAGCTGGTTTGAAATTAGGTTTAAGTGTTTAGCAACATAGTGAAACCATATGGGTTTTTACGCCAAAATAAATAGAACGACGTCTTTGGAGTTCTGATACACTTTCAATTCCATGGTTCTGGAGAAACGACGATGCATCAAAAAATAAATGCATCTCGTTCAAAATATAAATCAAGGGAAACCAGTCTGAGCAGACCAATATCCTTCTTTCCTTTCCTGCCCCGTGAGGCGGAGCTATCATGAAAAATGTCCCTCTTCAAACTAGATTTCTTTATAGCAGACTAGGGTCTCAAAGCAACAAAGGGATCAATAACGCTAGAAAGTCCCTGAGCAACAAAAGGACCCATAGTAGTCTCATCACTCAGGCACTTCGAGGTTGACCACTCTCTCTGAATGGAGAGGAACCTCCCACGCTAAGCTGCTGGACAGTCGTTTAAGGAGCAGCCATTTTGACGGAGGGAGGAGAGTACTAGACCTTAGGGCAGGGGTGGGTAAAGACCCAGAACTTTGTATCGATGAAACACCCAACCCAAAAGAATAAAAATCAGTCCTCTTTCTCTCTTGCATACGGGCTTGGGCCATGCCAAGCCCCGCCCTCCTCATTGTTGTGGGCCTTAAAAGAGGAAGAGATGATCCGATACCACTAACATTTCTCTTCGAGATCGCTCTCTTGGTAGACTGCGTCTGCTCCAGTCTAACTCACTCGGGTTAAAAAACACTTCGTCAACTGCAAGAAAAACAATAAGCATCAACAACCAAAGTTCGAAAAAAATAAATAAATACAAAGTTGACATATCTATCCTGCATGCTATGGACTAACAACAGTCTTTTTACAAGAAGTCTAACCTGATGCATGCCACTCATGTTTTTTGCCCGATCTCAAAAGTCCAAATCATCATTTTATTGATTAGGGGTAACATTACAATTGTTTTTAGGCCTTTTTCATAGAGATGCATCCTCAAATTGACCAACCTCTACTTGTGGGTGCAGTCTCGATATACTTAACTAACTATGAACCAATCTTTTATTTAATCGCCAATTGGGTCGTAGTCTCCATAAACACCTTTTTTTAAGGGACTTGTTTGAAGGTATACACACAAAACCTCCTACCTCCTTCTTTAGTACCTTCTGTCAATAATAATTAAAAAAAAAAAAAACAAAAAGAGCCTCAAAGATGAGGTGATGCTAGTTGCTGATAGAAATTGTTGAAAGCAACAAAAATAACCTATGTATTGGGAAGAAGTTGGCAAACATTTATGCCAAAATATTGAAAAGCCTATGCCATAAACCAAGACAAAAGGAATCCATAATTATATTCGATCATACAAGTGAAAACAATTATCTCAATGTTTCCTTCCATACCTCTAGATATATGCCTCTCCATCCTGTCATTTCGATTAGAGATAACAGTAAGGTAATCTCATTCCAAGTGATGAGAAAAAGATAGTTATCTTTATCTTTTTTTCCCCCCTAAAAACTCTATTGGGACCTCCCCATATAGAGAAAGATGCAGACCCTCGTGTACTTCTAAAAGAAATAATATCTACATTAGGACTTGCTCTTTCGTCACTAAGGATAGTTCGAAAACCACTTCATCCTCTCCAAATCGATTGTTTTCAAACAAACACAAGATATAGAAGAAAAAAAGATATACCTATCAAAGTTTCAAGTACACATCAAAAAAGAAATCTCTCCAAAACAAGCTTAGATTATCTCTAAAAACACCAAGATTCGCCAAGTTTTCTCTCGATTAAAAATAAAAATTAGTAAAAAATATCTTTACAACAATAGTCTCTATAAAAAACTCTAAACATGTACCAACCAATTGATAATCTTTATCAATTCGCTAAAAACTCACTATAGTAAAAACAAAAATCAACAAAAAGTGAAATAACAAAGACGTCATCGTTTATTTATAAGTAAAAGAGTGTGAAATTTTTATATTGAATACTCAAAGGCCCAAGCCTAAAAGATGAATATAATATAATGTGAAACATTCTTGTATTGCCATTAATCTCACGAAACAACATAGGTAGATGACATTTGATAAACAAGAGGAACTTTAAAGGACCCAGTCTCTTTGATTCCTTCACATGCTTTCACAAGCAAGTGTTTGGTTTTCACATATATTTGCATGTTTATCAAGATTACATGTATTAAATAAGCCTCCCATATGCTTAGCAAGGTCAAGTGTGACAAAGACAAGTAATAAACTATTAGTGTCCCAAAAATCACTACCAAATGTCTTCTTAAGATGTCCGGACAAATGTGGAGCCTTCGCTAAGTATATTTGCCAAAGACTTGAGAGGGCTATTTACACATTAGTATGATCATAATCGCGACAAGTATCTTTTTGCTCCACTAAAAATCAACTCAACTATAGACTTTATCTAGCTATGACAATAATCGCCATCCGCCAAAGGCTATCATTTTCTTGTGAAACTTGGACAATCAATATAGAGAGGAACGGCCTGAATAAAGAAAATACCATTTCATTCACTTGTTAGACAAAAAAGACATATATTAAATGAAGATATGATTTCGTGAAATATTTTTTTCCACATCATTACCAACTATAACTACACATGCATTGCTAGACAACCATCATTGTCTAAAAGGATCCTTCACCTTTAAATAGATATCAATAGTCATTGAACATAAGGATGATATTAATCTACTCTCTACTTCATGCAAGATGATTATTGTCTCTACCTACATAAAAGTTAACAAGCTAAAAGTTATAAGTTCTAACATCTAAGTCAAAAATAAAATATATTATCAACTATCTTTCATGTTAAAAAGTTAATTTACTTAAAGCTTACTCGAGCTAAATACTTCTCCGTGTAAGCTAATTTAGCCATCGGAGGGTTCTTGAAATACTAAGAGAGAACTTATTTTGTAGGTAGTCGTCATTAAATCAACACATATATAGTTATAACAACCGTATGATCAGTCTGGATTGAAAGTCATCTTACTATTAATTTTAATTCGAAAATCATGACCCTATCACATGGTCATGGAATAACCAAATGAGATAATTGAAGAATTTAAATATGTTAAAACCAAGGAAGAAGTTGAAGAAATTGACTTGGGTTACGTAAAACAGCTATGAAAAGAGATTTAGAATCTGCTTTCAGGACTTAACAGTATGGATTTGGTAAGATTCCTCAACAAAATGCTACAATCAGAACCTGTTCGATTTATATTGAAATTGCCTTGAACAACCCTATCTAAGCTTCTTGGATTTGCAATCTTAAAACAACTTAATTTATGGATTCTTAACTTTATGCCAAACTAAGGGAGAAATAAACACAAACAATGAGTCTTACAACATTAACAAACCGCCATTGGTAGAGGAGATTAGAGTTTCTTCTATCACTCATCTCTCTATATTATCCTGGGTTCGTTCCTTGCCTATTTATTAACTTCGACAAAAAAAAAAAAAAGTTTAATTTGATCTCTCCACCATTTGTTTGGACATAAACAGTGTTGTTATCTTGAAAAAACTGGGAGCTTGTGAATCATCGGCTGCATCTGGACCCATGGTTCTTGCAAATTAATTGATTTGATGAATGGTATCATTGACATGGAGGATGTGAAATTACTAAGAGAAAAGGGCATTGTTTTAAACCTTATGCAGAGATGAATAGGTGGCCAATATGTGAAATATGATGAGCAAGTCCATTAGAACGACAAAAGTTCCATTCGTGGATAAGGTGACTGAAGATATTAATAAGTATCATGATTAAAGATTAAAGGTTAAGGTTACGGTTGCTAGATTCATGAAGTAGTGTGTGTTTCGTTAATGAAAGCTTCTTACTGTTTTGGTTACCATTTTTATCTTTCTCCAAACAACACTACAAGCATTTTGCTCAGTTTATGACTATAGTCGCATATTTCATATCAACCATCAGATGATTTATTTATTTATTTATTTTTAACTAATATCATGCACGATCTGATAATTAGCGCGTCATGCTTACTCAACATGTAATTAATTCTACCTTTCGCCCTTTTTGTTTTGGAGCGCAGTTTGTTTTATACTATTAATATTTGAAAGTTTGATTGTTAAATTTTATATTATTTTAGAGGTAATTATCAATATTTACTCTATAAGAAAGAAATAAACATAAAAAAATGAGAGAAATTAAAAAGAAATAAATTTTGAGCTTAAGTATGAAATATTCTAATCACTTTTAATTGGTTCAGATATGATTTTTTTTCTTTTGTATATATTTCTCTCTTTAAAAATAGACCCCATATACTTACAACAGTGACTCTCGGAATATTTTAAATTTTTTGGTTAATAAGTTAATTTTCTCATTTTCTAACAAATTTAATTATGATTTATTAGGATTAGGAGGATTGTATCTCATTGGACTAATGCTAATTTTTTCTCTAAATCTTTTCTTAAAATGGCATTTGTGTGGAGCCTTTTTTTTTCCTCCCTATTTTCGCTTGTTAAATTTTTCATCACGTAGTGTAATTAAATCGGAAGAGTTTAATTCGATCTAATATCCAAAAAATGTATAAATTTTCTTGAAAAAAATAAAAATAAAAGACAGGTTTAAGATTGTTTTCAGCTGCATGTACAATTGTACAAAAAATAAAATAAAATTATGCACTATATTATGACATTAAATTAGGATCGCTAGCAAATGAGTTCAGTTCAACCAGCATTAGTGTTCTCTATCTCTCAAAAGATTTAGAGTTTTGAACCTCTCCTTCATCCTACGAAAAAAAAAGAAGGATCACGAGATCATTTGATAGTAGGAGAATTTCTTTCTTTTCTTTCTTTTTTCTTGGGTCTTTCTTTCTTTTTGATAAAATTTATAGTATATATGTTGCTTCAACTCTTTATTTTGCCTTAAAAATGTCGTGGACATTGGATATTCAGATATGGATAAAAGCACATAAACAATATTAAATTTAAATTTAAATTATTATTAAGAGTGTAATGGGGTGTTTGATAACCTAATTAAGTAGCTTAAAAAATTAAGTTGTGCTACTTAATATAAAAATTTTGTTTGATAACTTAAATGATCTCATATTAAAATTTTAAGTTCGGTTAAGATTTACTTAATCGGATAAGTTAAAATTTTTAACTTACCCGATTAAGTCAAACTATCTAAAACATATTCTCTCTCTCTCTCTCTCTCTCTCTCTCTCTCTCTCTCTCTCTCTCTCTCTCTCTCTCTCTCTATATATATATATATATATATCGAATTTATAAATTATAATAACATATTTTGAAAAATAAAATACTCATTTGAAAAGCATAAAAATAATTCATTATATAAATTATAATAATATATTTTTAAAAAATAAAACATCGACGTTATAAGATTTTATTCCAAAATTCATATATTAAAAAATCAAATTTATTAACAAATAAAATTATATCAAAAATTAATTTGATGAGAATTTTAATAAGAAAAAATAAAAAATAAATTTTAAACAATAAGAGTAATATAATCGGATATATATGTTCAAACTAAAATCTTAAAAAATATCATATATATTCTATTATCTTCAAACGGACTTATTATATTCGAGTACTTAATTTTCAGTAAATACCAAACGAACTTGTCGGGAATATATTCGGTATTTAACGATTCAGCACTTAAAATTCGAGTACTTAATATATTCATGAGACCTAAGAGAAGAGTAGGTAGTGAATCATGATTTATAGTTATTAATTGCTATAGCATAACATTAACTTACTACATAATTTAAGGGGGAAAAAAAGTTTTGATCACAGCGTTATAGCCTAACAATTTATATATATATTGGATGCTATATATACATCCTAACGTAAGGAAACGAAATGTTCATAAATAAATAAATAAATAAGAAAAGAAAAGAAAAGAAGAAATAAGCAAAGGTCATTTTCTAAGTTAGAAGCCCAGTCTTTAGAACAAAAGAGTTAAAAGCTCCATGGGGACAACCTTTTCCATATTTTAACACAATAAAGTTCTTATAGAGCCCGGCCCAATAAAATCAATATTTATCCCTTCCTTTTTGGAGAAACAAAAAATCTCTCTTTTATCTGCCCTCGGCTTTCTAACATTTCTATAGAACCCCCTCGCAAGGATTTTTGAATAACAACAGTGCATCATCAGCTGGATATTCCTAATTCATGAACAGAAAACATATACCCCGTAGCCAAACAGCAGGGTTCAACTCACTTCTCCCGTACGCGTGTCACAATATAACCTCAGCAGCACAAAAAAGAAGGCACCCATGAGTGACGCACAGGTGCAAAAGGGCATCACAATTCCGAGTCACTCGCAAAACTCACAACTCACAACTACAGTCACCAAACCCTCCAAGAAATTTCACCTCTCTTCTAACGACAACATTGCTTCTCTATCTTCTCTCTTTCTCCGATATCTCGCTCGCAATGGCTGCTCCTATCAGATCAGGCTTCGCTCTTCTCAACAGGGTTTTGAGATCTGATTCTCTATCTACCCAACGATCGGCTATTCAACGCTCCGTCTTGACCCCTGCTTTCACCGCATCTGAGGTAACAAAATAATCCAAAGCAAATTCGTACTTTTTTTTCCGTAGAAATCTTTTATTTTGATTTGTTTTCGGAATTCGATGTCTAATTTTATTTTATTCCAAATATTTCATTTTCTCGGAAACGAAATGAAGCATTATCGGCTCCTGAAAGTCCGTCGTTTTCGAAATATTTGCGCAAGCTATACCTACTAATGATTAATTTACTCGAGGAATAAAACATCTAAACGATGGGCCATTTTGTTGTTGTAGTACTCAAAAAATCTCAGCACTTCATCTTTGCAGAAGGAGGAGAAAATCAAGGTAACTGATCTAATTACCTGTAGACTTGTCTCTTGCACGGTTGCTTGCGTTTTAGACTTTGGTCCTGCTCCACATATTTCATGTCCTTTTTTGACTGTATGTTGATTTTCATGTAGACAAAAGAAGAATTTCTTACTGTTGTTACTTATCTCTAATCCTGAATGATGATTTCCAATTAGCAACTTACAGACGCTACTGTGTGAAAATTGTGCCGCTGGGCACTGCTTATTTAGAAAAAAATTGACGAAACTCTATTCACTTTCTTTTGCTTTTTTGAATTCATGTGGCCATGGGATCTCGAGTTATCCTTCATAGTGATATAACATTCTAGTCAACTGTGTTTCAAGACCTGAGCGACTAGATTTTAAGGGCTTCTGAATCATTAATGTAAATCAGCATCTATTGCTCAAACTGTTAACGCATGAGAATTTTGGGAAGCCTGTAAATCTAGTAAATAGAGGTTGAAGCTAAACATATATTTAAGTGTAGAGATAGGGTCATTCAACAGCAGAAATTAAGTGCATTATTTTATTTTAATCCTGATTTGGACGTTTTCCATGATATTAGTTGCCTATCACTTTATACGGGGGAACTGGAAACTATGCCTCTGCTTTATACACGGCGGCCAAAAAGTCTAAGGTGCTGGATCAGGTTGAGTCTGAGGTTTTTGACCTCATGGAGGCTTCAAAGAACAGCCCTAATTTTTCTCAGTTCTTGAAGGACTTGTCAGTGCCTGCTGATACTAGAATCAAGGCCATTAATGAAATTTGTGGCGCAGCTAAATTTTCGGACATTACAAAGAATTTCTTGGGTAAGATAAGCTCCTCTTGTAATTGTTATTTGAAGAACAAGAACAAAGTCTTTCTGACCATAGTGAATTTTAAGTTCTTTTGGAAAATATTCAAGCTACATGTATATTAATGTATCTCTGTCTTTTATTGGTCCAGCATAAATTTGGCTTGTGCTGATTCATGCACAATGTTATGAATTTGTAGAAATTTCCCATAGAATTTCTGTACTTCATTGTTAAAGTGATTTTTTTCTAGTAGTTATAATCTGGACGTCTGGCTTAGCTTAGCTGATAAATCTCATGGTTTTCCCAGATACTTAGGATTGAACTGCCTCCCCAAAACCTACATCGGCTTCTGGGAATTGTAAGAAATGGAAGAAGGCTTTTACCTATCGTAAAGCTTGAAATCCTAACCTTTCTGATCCATGGCTAACTATTATTGTTGTTTTCTGCATTCTTACTTTATCTAAACTAGTCTGATTGTCTTTGGTTTTGTTATTATCACTTCCTCCTCAATGTCATGGTAATGTGGCTTTGTGGATACATGGTGAAAATATAAGCATCTGCTGGATCTGGATGACTTAGAAGATTGTCTTTTTTCTTGGGAATAGGAGACATTATGCTCCATCAGAATATTTCACATGTGGATTGCAGCTTCCTGAGGGGATGGGATCCTAATGTTCAATATGTTGTGGGCTAGCCTAGTAGCTTATTTATACTATATGTGCTAGAACTAACACATTGACACTAGAAGCTAAAGGCCTCTTGCATTTTGTTACCTTAATAGGCCGTCCTTCATTGGGTTTGTGACTGTAGCAGAGGCCTTTTGACTATGTCTTGCATACTTTACCTTGTACTGAACCTCACTTATATGAGGCTTGAACTTCATATAAGTGATTTAGTTGCATTTCTTTGTACTATGCTGATGTGGATATACCACAATGAATCTATGTCATTCTTCCTTCAATGAAATCCTTTGTTGAAGAAGTTTATTATTATTCACAAACATTTCGTTGTGTTTTCTTAGTAGCTAGTGCTTGTAGTTGATCTCTTGGCACTTGCTTGTCTTTTAATTTGATAGTAATTATTCTTGCATTTGACTGCATTGTCATATTCTGAAAAGTTTTTTATTGCCTTTTTACCAGCTGTAGTGGCTGAGAATGGGAGGTTAAATTACTTGGAAAGCATTGTAAACAAATTCAAGCAGCTGACGATGGCAGACAAGGGAATAGTAAAAGCTATTGTCATAACTGTCATTGTAAGTTTGACTATTCAGTGGTTAAATATTTCGTTGGAAGTGCAAATTAATGACCATTATGTGTTCATTGGAAGTGCAAATTAATGACCATTATAGAACTTGTATCGTTAGTCTATCGCACTTGGCCTGTCTGTCTGTGTTTTTGCTTTTTTCTTTCCATTTTGTTTTCATCTTTGGGTACAGGGAACATAATTTCTGATATTCTTCTGTTATAGATTTTGAGGATTCCCTTCCTTGTACATGGTTCTTTTTGATATTATTTTGGGTTACACTCTCTTGGTTCTTCTTAGTAGAGTTTTTGCTCATTGAAAAATATGAATGCACCTACACATGTAATGAAGTCAATAAAAAGAAGCAAGATTGAGCCCTAAAAGAGCTCTGCTTTTAAAAAAATAATATTAAAAAAAATCTTTAGAGGCCACAATTATTGTTTAAGTTTGATATGGTGCCTATTCCATACCATCCATGTTTTTTGCAGTCTACAATAGGCCATATATTTAGGCCCCCTTCAAGTGAGGTGGTTGCTAGCTTCTTGTTGGGATTTTCTTGAAATACAACATTGGAGGTTAGGGAGTTTGCTTTATGTTTTGTTTAGTGGTCTTCAGTCTGTCCTTTTCAGTCAAAGTAGCGTGATTTTGTTTTCCCATTTAGGAGTGCATGCACCATTAATATTTGAAGTACTTGAAATTTATATAATCAATTAAGAAATATCAGTCAGTTGGTGTTTTACATATCAGGTCATGCATCTCTGCGGGCAAAGAACTTTTGATCTAATTTGGATTTTTAATTATGCACTGTTCAAATCTGTATCTTATGACCTAACAGTCTAGTTGATCCTTGCAATGTGAAGTGCTCATTTAGCTCTCGATATTGATAATTAATTGTTACACTCTCATGCCAGCCCCTCCCCCCACAAGAGGAAAAGGAATTGAAGGAAACACTGCAGGAAGTTATTGGACAAGGGAAGAAGGTCGAGGTTGAACAAAAGGTGTGCATTATTACTCAATTTAGTTATTTTGATGCTATTTCACAGTGAAATTTATTCTGTCTTATCCTGTGCCAGATTGATCCTAGCATTCTTGGGGGGATTATGGTAGAGTTTGAGCAGAAGTTGTTCGACATGTCCATAAGAACTAGGGCGAAGCAGATGGAGAGGTATCTGCGTGAGCCTGCAGACTTTGATGCCCTCTGAAAGGTGATACACCCAACAGCATCCAAGCTTTCCAGGTTATTTCTGGATCAACTTCTATCAATCTGCATGAAGATGAAGTATCTATCTTTCTTGTTTGGATTTGTTCACCTGTACCCACACTTTTGATATGGGACGTCCGCAAATAAAATTCTGTGGAGGCAGTCATTAATACACCTTTACTTTCTTGCTGAGATTTTGGTGATACCCAAGTTTTTGAAGGTTATAATTGTTCAGAGATTACTCACCTGCACATTGAGTTTATGCTCACAAGTGCTCCTTTTGGGCTCTTTTCTGTTGGCTTTCATATTTCCATAGCAGCTATCCAGCTACTACTTCCTTGTATGCAGGCTAACTAGTGCAAGATAGATCTCACAACAGTTGCAGATTAGCAACTTTGAGAATCTCATAGATGATGTTACTCTTGCCATATGCTTTCTTGACATTGATAATGGCACTCAAATCAATTTATACCAACACTTCACTTTAGTTCTTAAATAGTATTTATCCAAATACTTTTGGTTCGCTATTATTCAGTGCTTTGTCAGAGCTATATGACTAGTGAAAAATAGGAAAGCTCGAGGTCTGTTGCCTCTCTCATGGCAGTTTAGCACTCCACTCCGATGCTACGAACCAACTCTTTCCTTTTTGTCTTTTTTATTTTTGTTTATGTAGTGGAAAGCCCAATCAAAGCGTATGCTAATACCTCATTAAATGTTGTAAAGACGAGTCAAAAAAAAAAAAAAAAAATCTGATGTGGACTAGGTTTGTACTCAAGGAAATCCCCTTCCATAACCCTCTACGCAGTTTTTTATTTTTAGGCTTGATTTGTATAAGCAATATGTCTCTGTTTGTTCAGATATTCAGGTTCAGTACCAAATAATTTTGAATCGGTTTCAGGTAAACAAAATCACCAGATAATTTTTAGTTGGGTTTCAGTTAAACCGAACCATCAAAATTGTAATTAGTCTCGAACTAATGTTAACCGAAAAGAACCGAACTTTGCATTTCTTTTTCCTGGATCTGTATGGTTACAAACTTTAAAAATACTGGTTTTGGATTAAAGACAAATTATTCGGTTGTATTATCCTCCACTTGTACAAGTAGGATCTAAAGAATCTTATTTTGTAAACGGATGTAGTTATATATATATATATATTTGTCTTATATTTAATTGATGGAGCTTTCTTTGAATTGTAAAACCAATACGAGTTTAAATCTTTTCATGACAACCACTCAGTTACTTTTATTATTTTATAAGGATATAATGGTATAGGAAACTTAATCGAAAAGAATAAAGGTGAAACTATTACTAGCTTAAATTTTTCAGCATCTTACCAATTTTTTTTTCAACGTAAGTTGGTTTTAGTGATATTTGAAACCACACATACATATATTGATAGATCAATTACTAATACTATTCGATTCTGCTATTTCGGACAAAATAATTTCCTATATATAAAAATATCAATTTAAGGTGTTTCTTTGGTGAGCTTATGCTTAGTTTTTTATCTTGGGAAATAATTTAGTTGTCCTTCTCATATAATGGGATACATGTTTAATTTTTTTTATGTTTTAAAATGAATTAATTATATTTTTGATGATGATATTTTCAATAAAACTATTAAAAATACTACGCGATTTGCACATGATGAATTTATTTAAAAAATAATCCTCAGATGAATGGGCAAGTGCAAGTTATTAATCCACAACTATTTTTTCTCTCACTTTGGTCGAAATCAAGGACGAATACTAAACTTTCTTTCTTTTTTTTTCCCTTTTTTTCTCTTTTCCTTCTTCTTATTCATCACTTCTTCCTCTCTTTCTCTTCTCTTCCAAAAATTCAGCCAAAATCATCCCAAAACATTCAAATCCATCAATTTTCCAATCACCTTTGAAACCGTTATTTTTTTCTCTAAAAATTCTATATTTTACCTAAAATCAAGTCCTCACCTGTTGAATTACATTCTTTAAAATTAACATTTTTCACCTTTTCCTCACTTTTAGGCCAACATCGAGTCCAAATCCATTGGTTACCCTCAAACCCACTACTTTTCTCTAGGTTTCTTCTATTTTTTGGTCACTCATCACTTCAAACATTTTTTAATTATCAAAACTCAAGTCTAACATCACAAATTAGTAACTTTTCACCCTGAAATTAGGTTCGGTCCTTATATATTCTTGGCCAGATTCAGACCAAGATGGGAGAGAAGATGCTGATGAGTGGTGACTTGTACATACTTATTTAATTGAAGGGTATTTTTAGTATAAATAAGTCATGTAAATCACATGATATTTTTTTGATATATAGTTTTACTATAAAATATTATCAAAATAATAGATTGGAAACTCATCAAACATGCAAGAACACACTCAATATTCAAACACCCCCCCCCCCCCCCAAAAAAAATATATATATATATATATATTATTGATTTTATTTTGTATTTTTTGGTGCTTTCACTATATAGAATGATCGATCCTTATTTTTTGGTGCTTTCATGCACCATATAGAATGATTAATCCATACAAAATGCGGATCTTATGCTAGTCACTACAACATTGGTAAGGAAGTCATCTCCGAATGTTTGGTTCAAATATTGTTTGCATGAGAAGTGAAGAGATGGAGACCCATCGAAATTATAGCTGGTCATGAAGATCGAGTACATTAAGCTCAAGCGTAATAATTTGTGATGTGTGACTTGCTTTATAATGGAAGCAAATCCTGTTCTCTCCTCGATCTGCACATGAAAACATAATAATTAATCAACTGATTTCTTAGCCATATATCTAGAACCAAATTCAGGGAAAAGAAGGACTGGTGGATCATCTATAGCAGAAAGGCTAACAAATAACTGAGCTGATCCTTCTCGTGGGGGCCATTCTTAAAAACTCTCCATCTGATCTATATTGTTATTCTCCGTTTTGGCATTGCATTGATGCCATAAAAAGGAAGGACAGTTATAATGTCGTGGACCTTCTAGCTGCCGATGCTTCTCCTTTTTAGGTCATGAACACATTGGACTATATAATCAAGAAAATATCTTATTTGTCTTCACTTCATTTTAATGGTTCTGGTGAGTTCTTTTTTGCTTTCTAAGTCAGAATTTGATAAAGCACTGTCGAAATATTGCTCTTGGCCCCCTGTATTCGAAGGCAGACAATGATATGTACATTCCTGTGTACAAAGTTAACAACTATCTAGGCTACGTGGTCTTTCTTGTCTTCCTAACAAAGTTGAGCATGTTGCTTAAGACAGCCTCATAAGCATGAGATAGAATTTTTTTTTCTTTTTCTTTTTTTGGCCTTGACAGCTGTTTTTCGAGAGAAGAGAATGCTTTGGAACCATTTGAGTAACTTCAGAGTTTTGCAGTACTTGCTTTTTCCCTGAAAATTTGCTGCAGTCCTTTTCAACACAGGGGATCAAACATTGAACAACTCCATAACCCTTTTGTTTCGCTAGAATTGACCAAGACTAGCTCTCATCTAATACTTATTTGGATTTGACAATGGCTAATTTGAAATTTCTGATACTACATATATTTCCTTTCCTATTATACATGAAATGTTTCCATAGAGCAATTCGTGGCATGTAGGGAATATAGGGTTTGGTAAAGAAAGGGAATTTCTATAAGATAGATAACTCTTCCAGCACATAAGAAAATGAAAGGTATAGGGTTTCCTTTTTTCCTGAGATAGCGTTAAAATGCTAAAATTCTCATTTTCTGGTCTAAATATCTAACAGTGCCCAGCTTGTTGATCAGTACTGATGTAGACCTACTGTCAAGGTCATTTAGTTCCGCTTCAAAGTGAGAATATCTTGGTGTGGATCGTTCCTGACCTTAATTGCTAATTGTCCGTTTTAATTATTTTGCAAAACAACAAGACATATATATCACATATCAGGGTTACGCTTATTATAATTATAAAGGCTGTAATTTGTTGTTTGAAAAGTATATATAAGATAAATTTATAACATCAGTAATAAACTCCTAACGATTCGTGAGGACGTGGGAGAAAGATCATTTTGAATATCAGATTAATTATTTTCCACTATAAAAATAAGTGTTTTTGGTGACAATTTTTTCGTCACCAAAGCCTTTGATGCTGAAAAAACCGAACCATCAATTTGGCCACCTATGTCCCGTCACCATAGTTTATGACGACAGATTCTTTTAAATTTTGTTATCGTAGTCTTATTTAATAAGAAAATCTTTAGTGATCAAATCTGTCACCATAAACCACATGTGGAGACTAAGATAATCATAAGGGCTTTTTGGACCGGATTGCTGGTTAAAAACTAAATGTACGAATAAAAGCACTCCATCAACCAATCTATCTATACATGCCATTTTGACCATGCTTCAAGATGTTTTTGGTGACTATTTATTTTTAAAGATTTTTGCCAAGTTATTTTAATCTAAAATTTTAAAAACTTAATCACATCAGAAAAGCGTTCATAATAACAATTGTTCAAACTTAATTAGTACACAAATTCACAACTTTGGTTCATCATTTCTATAAAATCAACTCTTAAGTTTCAAAAAAAGCTTTCATCTTGCCCAAAATCGTGCATGCATGACCTCCCATCCTTGTCTGTCATAAACCTGCATCCAGCATCCTCCATCAATCATCATCCTATGTCAAAAACACATACCATTAAATTTCAATAAATCACCCAACTTGCAATTGTTGAAGTCAAATCCTAAACATATATATATAGAAGTAACCTGTTCGCACAATCACTAAGAAGGCCTTTTTTAAAGTGTCTACGTTTCAAAGAGATGTTGAGAGACTAGAATGATTTAGAACTCTACTAATTCATGAGACTGAACTCTCTGTTACCATTGCTTTGACGTATACATTAGAAGAAACGAGTAATACAGCCTTGCCTCCCTTCCCAAGGACAACTATCAAGTTTAAAATGGATGAGTAGATTATGAATACAGTTCTCGCAAGTTTATGGCAGACAGTGAGAGAAACCTCTAAACGCTTCTTATGATGGGAGTTTTTCATTTTCTAAACTTGCATGCGTGCAATTAAAATATGTTTTCTTGCCTATAGACATTAAATAAAATGCAGCTATGGAAGCCATGGCATAAAAGAAGCCAAAAGGCACAAGAATGCCATAACCAAGCAACCTAAAAAGTCTAGAGCAAAGTAATCAATCGCTAAAAGTGAAGATCCTAATTAAGTAATTAATCCAGAACATCACCTCCAAAACTTAGTAAGAATTTACTTCAGAATTCGAATTTCTCTCTTATTTATATCTTTACAGCTTAATTAGTTAATCTCAAGCTCAATTGCTAGGCACCTTATAAAGCCCTAATTAATCAAATTCCATGATCCTACAAATTATTTAACATCCAATGCTTAATTAATTGAAAATCCCTAAAAAAACAAGAAGGAAATCGTGAGCTAAACTGTTGTGAGCTCATACTTTCACTAACATGGTCAGATTGAGACAGTTTGTGGTTGCCGCCAGCGAGGAAAGGCTGCTCGTAGCTGCCACCAGCCGGCGGTTTCATGGTGGAGAGAGAGTGACCTAATCAAAGTGTTCTTTAAATATAAAGAGAGACGCAATTATATATTTGAGAGAGTGTGAGTGAGTGATAATCAGATAATAAAAATCTTTCTTTTAAGCCGATGATAACAATCAATGAAATTGTTGTTCATTTAAAGAAAATATGGGTTTTCTTACGAAATTGGTAATTAATTAACGAGGTGGATTGAGAATTCTAATTGAATAAATGGGATTTGTCAACTAAATTGATCATTTAAAAAAAAAAAAACCCCCATAAACAGATGTTTATGTACAACCCTATGGTGACATCTGATCAATACATAACTTATTGCGACAAATTTTGGTATCGGAAAGCCAGTTAAGCCATAACGAAACGAAAAAAAAAAAAAACAATTTGGTGACTAATATCACTTGTAAGTATATCTAGTAACTATATCTTTAAATACAAAATGATGGCCAAAATATATTATTTTTGTAGCGTTCTATAATTTAAAAATTGAAAAGTAGAAGCCAAATTAATAAACCAGAAAACTTCTGCAACAAAAGGGTTGAAACACTTCTGCAGAAATTTATTTGAATTGATGAATATAAAAATGTGGATTTTTTAGCTGTTCACACATAGCCTTACAAGACAAGCAGAGAGGTCCTTATTAGAAATGAAGAGAAATCTTTTATCCGGGAGCACAGTCATGTCAATCTTACTGATTTTATTACCCTTATCTACTTACTTCGCTTACGTACTAACCTCTTCCATTTATCCTTTTCATCCTGTCAGGTCCTCAACTGATTAAACTCAACGTGAATTATATGGACACATTTTTGTACCTACAATATATATACAGAGGACTAATGACACCAATCTTATGATTCCTGAAATGATTTAATTAATTAGCTAGTAGCAGTACTTGTGACGGATGGTTTGATTAATTTTTTCTTTTTTTCTGTCTGATCACTGTCATTTTGTCGTGCACAACAAATTAATCTTATTAATTTGTAGGACAGCGAGCATGTTATGCCAAAAAAATAGTTTTTGATTGTAGAAAGATATCTTTATTCTTATAAAAAACTACATCAATACAAAAACTTAACTTATTAGATAAGATTATTACTTTTTAATACATTTTTTTAAGTGAATTTTTTTTTGGATTTGAAACTTATATACACATATGCATATTAGTTTTGCTTAATTTTTAAATTAGAAGAAAAAATACTTCTTAATTATTTTATTAAAAGAGATTCAAACTCATGATGGTTTGATTATTAAAATTTTAATATCAAATTAAAAATTATTTTAATTTAAAAATTTAAATTATTAGGTAAAATTTTAGAAATAGTTTTATATTATTTTTTAATAATTTTGTAAAGCTATGATTTGTTAGTAGAAAAATTATTGAAAGTGTAATTTGCTCGAGAAGCAAATACTGTTAGGCAGTGAGCTGGCGGTAAAGAGATGATGGTTGAATGTAATTCACGTTAGCTTGCGAGTAATCTTAATCGAGCTCAACAGAAAAATTACATGTAACGAATTAATATGCAACGGTACTACTGCCCTAGCTAGCTTGAGAAAATGTACTAAAAGTACTTATGCATTTCCTCTCTTTCGATCTCAAGCCACACGTGTTTTAGAAGTATAAACCTAGAGCGAGAAAGAAAGAAAGAGGGCATTATGTGAAGTGGAAGCAAAATTGTTTGTCTCGTACACACATGATGATTACCTTGTGAGTGAAGAAAAATGCATCGAAAAAGACAAGATAGAGTCAAAGACAAGAAGACCAACCATTCGTCCCTCTCTACGAGGGAGGTCCCCCTCCAATCCGTTTTCCACTCTACCCATCAACCAACAACAGACATAAATATTGCTCTCTCTTCTTCTCTCTCTTCATATTCGTACTCTTATTCTAAAGCAAACCCCACAACCATCACAATCATCATCACTCTTACCACCCCATGAAGCGTCCTCTCTCTCTCTCTCTCTCTCTAATGGCTACTACAAACTAACAATATTTATCATTTACCTATATAGCTTTCTCTCATCTCCATCAAACCAGTTAAAAGAGAAGAAAGGCTCTCCAGTTCTGGCTAGCTGATAAGAGCAGTATCAAGCACAATGAGGAAGCCGGATCTAATGGGCAAAGATAGAGTACCAAGCAACAATAGTATTAACAAGGCCAAGCTCAGAAAGGGCTTATGGTCACCAGAGGAAGATGAGAAGCTCATCAAGTATATGTTAACAAATGGACAAGGGTGTTGGAGTGATATTGCTAGGAATGCAGACTTGCAGAGGTGTGGCAAGAGTTGCCGTCTTCGTTGGATTAACTACTTGAGACCTGACCTCAAGCGTGGCGCATTTTCTCCTCAAGAAGAAGAGCTTATCATCCATTTGCACTCCATTCTTGGCAACAGGTTTTTTTCATCTTACTACAAGTTTATATTGGCCAACCAAATAATGTTATAATAGACAATCATATAAAACAGCAGTACTTACAATGCTAATGAAGTAAAAAGGGATAGACACAATTTAACTATGTTAAAAATCCCAGTTGCCTGGCATCATTATGTACTGGCGTTGTTTCATTTTTTTTTTTTTATACAGCAAGATACTACACTTGTATCGATCATGGATAAGAAAACAAAGAAAAATTGAAGCTACCAATTACTAAAACAAATTATTTTATACCTAGTTACTTGTAAATTCACAAGATAAAGAGTAATACCAGCTGTAACAAATGTGTAGCGTACATAAGTTGGAATAATGTTAGTTATTTGAACCAAATAATAATAATTATTATTATTCATCAGTTTCATGACAATCGAGAATGTATAAAAACCTCCCAGACATGTATAGAAATCAAGTGGATATATTGTGTATAAACACTGAATGCCAGTAATATTCATGCACATTTTTTGCCTTCTCTTTCTATTATTTTCACCTAGAGGCTTTGAGAATTGTCGATATGTTAAACTAAGTATTGATATCTCTTAATTTATTGGAGTCGAACGCCATTGCTACTAGCTTTAATGGGTCATCAATTTGATGCGTACTCATCCGTCACATTGTACTCACAATGGCCAAAAATAGCCGTGCGAGGATATATATATATATATATAGGCGTTCAGGCTATGGCCTTTTTTACATTTGGTTTTATAAGTTCGTTATACGGACCAAATAGTTGAACAACCATTAACAAATTATGATATGCTCTTATTTTGGAATTTCCAGCTTCATTTTTAACTTGATCAGCCTTAAATCATGCATCAATGTTCTGCATAGCTTCGGCTGAATATTTCTCATATATAGTACTTATTTGTAAGTTATGTTTTCGGCATTTGGTTTGTGGGGGGCTTTTGGCTGATCCAATTCTACTTGGTTCGTTGCTATAAACATTTCTAACAATGGAAAAATTAAAACTAACTGTTCTGACAAAATCTCCCCTCACATCGAGAAAGAAAAAAAGGTATTAATCGCATTTTTTTGTCCTTTTTAGGGCTTTCCTTTCTGCCCAGTAGAATCAATTCAGAAATAACAGAGAGATAAGGAATAAAATATTCTGAAAAGTAGGAAGAGAAATAAGTGTGCTCATTGCTCAACATTTCCTTTTCAGTTTTCAGCCTAATTAACAAGCATGCTTTTTATATATATATATACTGTTCTATCTGGATTTTCTGTAATTATATATGTGGATATGTGTTTGTTATAGTTATGTATTTTATACAATATGCAGGTGGTCTCAGATTGCTGCACGGCTTCCAGGAAGGACAGACAACGAAATAAAGAATTTTTGGAACTCCACATTAAAGAAAAGATTGAAGATCAATAACACCTCCACATCCTCACCAAATGATAGTGATTCATCAGAGCATAGAGATCATGTCATAGGAAATATCATGCCCATGCATGATCATGACATTATGACTCTATGCATGGACTCATCTTCCTCATCATCCATATCCATGCAAGGTATGGTCACATGCAACCAATTTGATCCTTTCTCCATGCTCAACAACCGCTATGATGTGACTGCTGCAGCAAGTTTATTGGACACGTCTACATGCTTAGCACAAGTGGGTATGGGAGATGGATTTTATGGGGATCATTATGGGATTTTGGAGTCTAATAAAAAAATGCGGCTAGAAAGTGATCTTTCTCTTCCACCACTGGAGAGTAGAAGCATTGAAGAGAATAATGCAGTGAGTAATAACAGGATTGGCATGGAAAGCAACAACAACAACAACAACAACAACCACTTTGATAATACTTGCTTCAATCATACTGATCAGAGATTTAAAGTAGAGGACATGTTGGGACTTGAAAATCATTGGCAGGGAGAAAACTTAAGAATGGGAGATCAATGGGATTTGGAAGGTTTAATGGAAAACATATCTTCCTTTCCTTTCCTTGATTTCCAAGTTGAATAACCGACTCCCCTTATATATGGTACCCTCCTCCCAAATTCTTTCCTCTCTCTCTCTCTCTCTCTCTCACAAACCTACCCTAGCTATCCATGCTATGTCCTAGAAAATTTTGGGCATACTTTCTTCTTCAAAATTACCAAATTACACACACCATCAAACTTTCTAGTTTGGTACATTCCTCGAAAGTTTTTTTTTTTTAAAAAAAAATTTCTTTTTTTGGTCACCAATGTTCTACATGCTCTTTCTATACCTTTTGTTTCTTCCAGCTGTGAAAGAAGTTTATACGTGAATAATTCCTTATTGTTGGCGAGGCATGCAAATATTATACGTTGGAGATTAGGGGTGGTGAGAGATTCTTTGGATGTAGTTGGATGGGTTTCTTTCCGAGGCATTTGGGTCATTCCTTGGAGCGAATTGGTGCAATAATCATCGTTCCCATGAAGAAGAGAAATGTGAATAGTGGTAGAGAAAATTAAGTAGAGAAGGAAATAAAGGTATAATTAGTTGGTGAATTGTAGTTGCATGTACAAATTATAAAAAGGAAATAATGTGGAGGTGAAGGTTGTTGTTAGTGGGAGAAAATATATATATTGAGACGAGAAGGATATATATACATATATTGTAAACAGTACACGTTAATAAGAAGCATGTTACATACAGTCCAACATTTTTTCTCTACGTCTCATCATCTGTAATAGCTGCTACTGCTACTTTTTTCTTTTTCTTTTCTTTTTTATTATTATTTTATCAAGTTGGAAGGCCTAGTGAACTTCAATCTATCAATCAAGGCGTAACCCTAAGTTACTTAAATCTGACATCAATTCATCCCTCAGGAACTAGAATATACCTACTTTTGACCCAAATTTAAAAAAGAATTTTTTTCCTAATGTGTCAAATTAATTGTCGATATGAACTTTCATTAATTAAAAAAAAAATAATAATAAATAAACTGTCATAGATATGTTTCTCAGACTCAATTGATCCCAAGGGGAGTGAGTCAAAATTTTGAGTTTAGCTATATGATAAGGCTAAGGATCGGTGGGGTTTAACAAGATAAGATTACCTAACCCATCTCACCAATTATCTTACTTGTTAACAACTTAACATTACAGTAGTCAATAAATTATATTTCAATTCCTATTGGTATTTTCTCTCCCATCAAGAAATATCAAATTCCAATCTCTTCTTTGTAATGAAAAAAATGTTACAGCAAATATATGCTTGTAATAGTAATAATTCGATTATTTGTATTATCTGCGTTAATACAAAAAAATAAATAAATATTTTATGAAAAAAATCAGAATAAGTGGGGAAAGGGAGTAAAAAGAAAAGAAACTCAATAACAACTAGCCAGTTCAAGAAAAGATAAAAGATGTATCTATAGTTCATTGAAAAGCAAACTAAATTGAAAAATATAATTTCTCAATATGATGACTAATTAATTAATTTTATTAAACCATAGGGGCTAACTTATAGTTTACTCGGGAAAAGGCAGAAAGAAAAGGAGTTAAAAAATACATGCGACGCCTGAGAGATTCGAACTCTCGCGGGGAAACCCCATGTACTTAGCAGGCACACGCCTTAACCACTCGGCCAAAGCGTCGCTTGATGTTTCATTGGGTAGCATAAATAGTATTACACTATTAATATATTTACAAGGCCTAGCTTCTCAAACTAAGCCCAACCAGAAGAAAGTCGTGCAAGCCCAAAGGTTGCTGGTCTGGCAAGGCCCTTTACGTGACTACGATCTGCCCATGACCACTAGCCTAGCCCCACATCTTATAGCAATGCATGGTGTTCTTATTTTTTATTTTGTAATTATTTTTGTTTCTAGTCATCTTGTTCTCCGCTTTAGACTGTTTGTTTCAGGAAAAAAAAATTTAAAAAATTTCAAGAACAGTTTTTTTTTTTTTCGATATTTGTTTCATGCTTAGGAAAAAAATCAATAAAATTTAATAGGTTATTTTTTAAAAACATTTTTTGAGTCAAAAAAGAGAAAAACATTTTCTCTCTTACAATTTGTATCATTCTCGTGTTACTCGTCCTCTTTCAATATATATTTTAATAATTTTTTTCTCTATTTTTTTATTTAAAATATATCAAATTAATTTTTATTAATTATTTAATTATTTTTTTCTCTATTTCTACTAACATTTGATTTTTAGATTTATAAATACATTAAATATTCTTAAAAACCATTTTACATATTAAAATTATTTTCATAATAAATATTTTAATAATTTATCTCTATTTTTTTTACCATTATCCAAAACACCACCTAAACTATATTTAAATGATTGAAAATGATTATTATAAGACGAAAATCATTTGTGAAAAATTTAAAACTAATTAATTCATTAATAAATATAATTATTTTTTGAACACTATTCATTTGCAACTAAGTCAATAATTTGTGACTAATTTAAATCAGTTGTAAAATTTTGTTGATAATCGTAGAAAATAATTAGTTATAAATTATTCCAATATTAATCTTTTGAAACTAAATGAATAATTATCTACAAATGATAACTAATAATTTGTAAATTTATTTTTTAGACTAAATTATCAGTTCAATTTATATATAAAAAAAAACAAGAGAGAAATTTTAATTGAGTTACCAAAATAACGAGTGTTAGGATTACTTAGAAATTTTTACTCAATGTGAATTATGATTTGATTTTGTCCTAAGTAGTTTTGATGAATTGGTTTGATAGTTAAAAATATATATTTTATTTTTTGAATTTAAATCTTAGAGTAAATATTTAAAAAAATTTATTAATTTTTTTCTATATGCATCTTATATGGTGAGATTGTAAATATGCCTTATTGAAATTTTTTTAAAACTCGTCGATATAATAATCACAGACTGTTTTTGTATTTTAGTTTTTTGTATTAAACAAACGCCGACACTCGAAATATATATTTTTAACATTTTTTTAAGTAATTACCAAATCTCATAAAATATTTTTTTTGGAGAACAATTTTTTTGAAAAATAAAATTTTGAGAATTGATTGTTCTATTAGAAGTTGTTTTTCATTAAACAATCGAAACCATAGAGTATCCATTAATTATTGAGACAAGCATGTCGTTCCTATATCTGATATGGTTAAGTCAGCACATCATAATTCTTCGTATTAAAGTTCACATGCATCTCTATGTTAAAACAATTTTAGGGACGTAAAAATAAAAAAAGTAAGCCCAATTTTGCATCTCATATCATCCCTCAAAGTTAACGAGTTCTTTTCTTGGTAAATAAAATAAAAAAAAATTGATAAATTATTTCAACATTAATCTTTTGAAACTAAATGAATAATTATCTACAAATGATAACTAATAATTTGTAAATTTATTTTTTAAACTAAATTATCAGGTCAATTTATTAAAAAAAAAAAAATTCTTAATTAAGTTACCAAAATAACAATGTTAGGATTATTTATAATTTTTTTTTACTAAATGTGAATTATGATTTGATTTTGTCTTAAGTAATTTTGAAATTAGTTTTTTCCTAAGAGTTCTTTTTTACAAACACCGACACTAGAATATATTTTTTAGTATTTTTTTATATAATTATCAAACGTCAAAAAATATTTTTTAAAAAATAATTTTTTGAAAATTGATTTTTCTATTAGAAGTTGTTTTCTGCTAAACAATTGAAACCTTAGAGTATGCATTGTTGAGACAAGCATGTCGTTGCTGTATCTGATATGGGTAAGTTAGCACATCATAATTCTTCATATTAAAGCTCGCATGCATCTCTATGTTAAAACAATTTTTGGGACGTAAAAATAAAAAAGTAAGCCCAATTTTGCATTTCATATCATCCCTCAAAGCTAACGAGTTCTTTTCTTGGTAAATAAAATGAAAAAAATTGATAAATTATTCCACATTTTTTTAATAAAAAAACATTACATTCACATCATACTATCCGTTTTCAAAAAAATACAATAAAATCCAAACTTAAATAGTTTCGATAATAACTATATCATACATGAGCTTTTAATAGTATAGTTTAGATCTTAAATCTATCTGTTAAATATTTTTCATAATGGTGAAATCTTTTGAGTATCCAATTTCTTCCAAAAGTCACAAATTCAATAATGTCTTATTTTTTATTTGTTTTTTAAGGGTTGAGGAGGGATTCAATCAACAATTTAATCCTGCTAATTAAAAACTAGAGGTGCGCACCATCCTCGAGAAACGAATATAAATCGAAGGGGGTCCATTATTGATAAGTTTTTACTAGATTTTTGACTCGTGTTATGTTGCGAGTTAGATAAAATATATAAAATCATATAGAAAAATTATTTCATTTTAATAATATGTTTTATGGCAAAAAATAATTATAATTTTTTAATAAAAAAATTTATATTTAACTATTTCTTATTTATGTTTTTAAATTTTAAAAATAAATAATAAATGAAATAAATTGTTGATTTATTTAAAATTTTAACACCTAATTAATTATTAGTTTTTTAAAAAAATTTTAACACTCAATATTATTAAGAAACGAAAATTAAAAAAAAAATTCAATGTTTAGAAAGAAAAAAAAAAGCCAGCCGTTTACTGTTCAAATGAACAATAAACGGATAAAGAAAGAAGGGGGAAGGGGGGGGGGGGGTTTGCTGGCAAAAAAAATAAAAATAAAAAATGAAAACTTAAAAAAATAGTTTTCCTTGAGTATATAGTAAATTTATCCAAAGTTTTTGGTTGTGATGTGATGATGGCAGTGACAATTGCTATTCATAACGTCGTGCTGTAAAAGCAAAAGCTGCTCAGATAGATTATTTATCAATGTTCTCACTATTACCTCCAATGATTACCGTAAATGGATACTCTTGTATCTCAATCCATCATCTCTTCAAAAGCAAGGCATATTCAATCAACTTTTGCACAATATCCACTGCTCATCCTAATCGAGTATTCCCATCTTGTACGGCAATTAATTTTCTCAATCAGTTGATAAGCATCAGTCGACTAATGCATTGGATTTAATATTAGATCAAAGTGTCACTGAAATTTGCTATCATTAGGGTTTTTTTTTTTTTTTTTTTTTGGGAAGAGGAAAAAAAGGTATATGTAAACTATGATCGATACAACTTAATTAAGGTTGATGAACGGGAATGTATAGTCTGTTGACAAGTCTATTGATTGGAACACTTAATAGAGAGACCCATACTCAGAATAGAGTAATTACAGGAATGTGAGATAAGAAATGTATAGTCTATTTTCTTTATTGAAAAGTGCCTTTTGTCGGCTTTTTGGCTAAGACAGGAGCCTTTTCCAAATATAAAAAAGAAAACACAATTAAAAGAGAGAAAGGAAATGCTAAAGCGTGCTTACTTTGCCATCATTCCTAGGATGTCTTGTTAAAGAGTGAGACAATTCGGTGTAAAGCAAGATAATAGCTAATAAATAAATACTGTAGGGGTCTTAGGAGAGGAGGACGCCGAAATTCACGGTTTGAATTTTTTTTTCCTACTATAATCTTTTGGCAGTAAGATGACCATTAAGTTAGCTAGGATAATATTGTGTGCTTATAATGACCAAAATAATAATAATAATAATAATAAAATGAAATTAATGTTGTTAATTAACTAGGTAATATTTTGATAGAGATTCATAATTTGACATATACAAATCGTATTGCTACTTATAACATGTGAGTCGTCCTTCTTTCTATTTCATGATTAACCTTTGTGTATAGACTTGGCTTAAATATTTGTTTGCAGTCTTAAATTCCTCCTTTAACTCTTTTTTCTTTTTCTTTTTTTCAAAAAAAAAAAAAATTCTTTGTGTCCCTTTTCGAAAGGTAATCGTAAAGTTGAAAAATGGTAAAACTTATATTAATTAAGAAAGTAAATAATAGTACTTTTCTTAAGCAATGTCATTATCAATTTATCATCATTCTTCACAATTCCAATTGCAAATTTATATTACTTTCACAAATCCGAAAGAAATTTCTGTAATCATGCATGGCCTAATGCACCAAAGAAGAAGTGATTATTAAGCTTATGGGGGAACTCACAACCTAGCCAAAGCAAAAGCAAGTAAGCATCCTTTGGTCTCTGCCAGTTTAAAACCCCATCTCTTGTCAGAAACACCCAACCGCGTCTCCTTCTTTCTCTCTCTCTCTCTCAGGCACACAACCCCCACTTTCTGCATTCACAGAATGGATTGTGAAGACCAAGAGGCCTTGTTTCACTCTTACCCATGTGCATACTATGTTCAAAGTCCATCTACCATCTCCCATGCAAACAGTGCGGATATCAAGACCAACAATAATATTCTCGAATCCACATTCCATTCACCAACAAGATCCGATACTATACTCATCAACAAGAACCCTGAGGTCTCAAGGTTTACCCTCTCTCGTTACTCATCCTCTCATGGATCAAACAACTCTTTCCTTAATGAGAAGAAGGTTAGTGGACCCGAGAATGGGGTAAATCGTTTGATCATTGTTGATGGTCATGGATTTGATGGTGATGGTGGATATGAAGAGGAAGAGGATGACGATCTTTATTATGAGAAGAAAGGTGGCTGGTGGTGGAGATATTGTTCTCTTAGGAGGAGCTCTTCATGTGCATGGGTTTCTTTGCAGATATTTTGGAGACTTGTGTTGAGTTTGTGTGCTGCTTTGCTTGTTTTTTATGTTGCTGCGAAACCTCCACCACCCAAGATGTCAATCAAGGTACATGATTTTTTTTTCTCTTCTTCTTTATTGTAGAAGTACGTTACCATCAAATGAAAACAGAATTTTAGGAATTATTAATCTTCGCAAACACAATTCTAATTTAGCTTCTTCTTCTTTTTTTTTTTTTTTTTTAATTTTATTTTATCATATCATGAGAATTGTGATAGATACAGAATAAGCTAGCTACTTCCTAAAATTTAGATGATCTTGTAAAATATGTCATTCCACATATCCTAACACACTTCCCAATTTTCTATTTAGCTCTGATGCATCAATGTAGGGGGCAATTTTTTTTCTTTTAAAAAAACCTTTGTATTCCAATATTCCATCAAGTGATCCCAGCAAAATGGTATTAATAGTAACATTCTAGCTTCAGCCCACTAAAATAACGAGCCTTCGGAGCCGGGTACTGCGTTTAAGGCTTACAGGCTAGGATTGGGCCTAAGATATAAGACTACTAACAAACTCGAGTAGGTGGCCCATAACTGAGTCACTTTAAAGTTTTGTTCGATTAGAGGCCCTCTAGCCATTAATTCGCCCGTAGTTGCCTCGAACAGCTTCCACAATACAGCAAAGATAGACCCAATTCTAGTTTCTAGCCCAGGCTTTACGCTTTTTTATTTTTTCAAAAATCAATAGGAAATATTTTTTGTAAAATTCTTAAATCACACCAAGACTACAGTTAAAAATTGCAGTAATAATACCAAATGGAGTACGCTAAAACAATGGCACTGGTTGGAGAAAAAACTATTAGCCATCAGGTCCTGAATCAGCCGTGTCCTTTGCCTTTTAGGCCTAAATATCAGTCACCTATTGCATAGCGAAATGAGTTCCATGATCAAGTTACCGTAGGTGGTTTTGGATCAAAGGAGCAGCTTAAGATTGAAAACGAATGTCAGATTTCTTCCTGTTAATTAGCCGCAATATCAATGATTAAACACCAATTGCTGCCTTGGCAAAAGGAATTTTTCTACACAGATAATATACAAAAATAAAGCTATTGGTAATTTTACGCTTTTAAACACACTTGCCAATTATTTTTAGAAGACGATTATAATGATTTGATATTCACTTTTAGCAGGTTATTACATGTAGCTTGAAAGATGCGACTAGTCATTAGAGAATTGTACAAATCTACAACAGATTCTTAAATTTACTCTGAATTAGAAGTTACCAAAATTTTGGTGCAGATGGCAGGAATTCGGCAATTTGGACTAGGGGAAGGAGTAGACGGCTCTGGTGTCGCGACTAAGCTCCTGACCTGTAATTGTTCCATTGACCTATTGATAGAAAACAAGTCAAAGCTCTTCGGCCTTCATATTCACGCTCCCATTTTGGAAATGTCATTCGGTCACCTCCGTTTCGCAACGTCACGTGTAAGCAAATCTGACAATACTATGAGCCATTTTTTAATGAAATTCAATTTCTGCTTCCTGTTATTATACGATGTTTGCTGTGGCTTTTATAACTTGCAGGGCTCAAAACTATATGCTCAGAGCCATACTTCAACATTGTTCCAATTGTCCGTGGGAACCAGGAATAAGCCGATGTATGGTGCTGGAAGAAATATGCAAGACATGCTAGAATCAGGAAATGGATTGGCGATAGTGATTCGAGTAAGCCTGAGATCAAATTTTCGAGTAGTCTGGAACCTTATCAAGCCTAAATTCCACCACCAAGCTGTATGTCTGTTAGTGCTTGATAGTGCATATGACAAGAAGCACCGTACCCAGGCATATAATAGCACTTGCACTATAGCTTGATGATCCTGTTTGCTGTTACACAGTGTTCAAAATTCTTCATGTGCTTGGAAATGTGAGAGATAAGAACAGAGACATAAAATTTTAAGAAACTTGTTTGTAAGCATAATGCAAGATCTACCGATATGTTTCATGTGTAGATACACCTGTAACGAATGAAAGACCGAGAGTAATGCAAAGAATTAGTGAGAGATTCTCAATTATACACTTATGTGAACAATAAGATTGCTTGAGTTTAGATGCCTACATAGCACTTTGGAAGATCTTTCTCTGCTACATAAACCTAGCTTTCTAGTCCAAAATTTGTCTGACTTGAAGATGCACGTTAGACAAATTTTCAGCAGGCGTAAAACTTGATTAAGATGTGTTTACTAGAGCTAAACCTGACTTAATCCACCACTAACCTAAGTTACAAATTCATCAGAATTAACTCCAAGATAAGATAATTAAATGCCAAAAAATAATCACTTTGTCCTTGTAAAAAGTCCAATTGTATGCAAGATATTCTTTTCTGAAGCTCCTAACATCTTTTTTAAGTCCAGCAGTTGTAAGACTGGTAAGTTGGGATGGCACCATTTCAAAAATCAATCAAACGAACACAGAAAACCAATTTCATTATACAAAAATTTAGCAGTCTGCATCAATGACATATTTGACAAGGTATATTGCACAGCCAAGTTTACGTAGTCAAGACTATCTTATCTTGGGTTGGTAAACAACAAGAAATAGTTTATGGTACCTTTGATAAAACCATTGCAATGATATAAACAAGTCATATCTAAATACTGATGGAGGCCAGAAATGAAAGCCTTGTATGTCGGTGGAGAAAAACTAGTCAGTCCTTGAATATATGAATACCATGTGTCTGCATACGCCGCTTGATTTCCGAGTTTCAAACTGACTTCAGGAATAAAAGCTCGCCCCCAACCAAAGCCTTGTCGCTACCAGAATTTTGACGTATAGCTAATATGTCATTAGCAACGGATCAGAGATAATATGAATTCCATCGCTAATATGGTGGTTGCTATTTGGATCGAAATTTTTTTTTTTTTGTTAAATCAATCTAAAATAGTAGTCTGAAAGGATTTCTATTGTCATGTAGTCGCTATTTCCACTTATATCTATCGTTACTTAGCAACAGAATGGGTGTCACTAAAATCTTTGCAATTTTGTTGCTTGAATCGGTAGCTATTTAACAACTCGTATATGTCTCTGTCGCTAAATATCCTCACAGTTCTATTGCTAAATGAAGAATTTTTTTGTTAAAAAAAAATTAATAGGCATAAATTGTTAATTGTAATAACAAACAACTATATAAAAAACACCTTATTAAAACATGATATATTATTTAATAAAATTAAAATTGAAATAAAATAAATATATAAAGGTGTTAAGATGTACAAAAACATTAAAAACTTTTTAAAAAAACAAGAAATATAGTCTTCATTATCATCATCTCCTGCATCATCTTTCGACTACTAGATATAGAGAAGAATGGTCGACTCTTGGGTTATGAGAGAGTCGGCAAAAGGAACGCGAGGCTCTGCAAGTCTATAACAACTCTATCAATGTCTACAATCGACTTTGTTTGATGCTAACTTGATTGTCATGTTGTTAGATGGTAGCTTCTATCCCCTTGATTCTACCTTCGTATTGGGTATAAACCGTAACGCTTGTCAATCGAGACACTTCATTTGAAGGGTCATGATCAAACGGGCCATTACGAAAACTTATATCCTTTTTATTTTTCTTAAAATTAAGTTCCTAATTTAATCTTATTTAAACATGTCAATTTAAAAATATAATTAATAATATATAATCTTACGATTTTTTTATTAACATAACGAAGCGTTATTCTAAAATTTCATATTTATAAAATATCTACCACCATAATTAACATTTCTAAATAATCTTGTCTCAATATTCATACTCAAATTCTAAGTAAAAATTTTCAACATTCATAAGTTTAACATCATTACACTTATTATTTTAAAAATAAATATTCATTTAAAGCATAACCTAATCGTTAGGAACATGCAAAGGCAAACGCATGAGCCACTCGTCACCGAAAGTAGCATCAACATCCTCAACATTTGTATCATTACCTACACCACAAAATGGACGTGAGATACGAATATCCCAATAAGTGTAACATGCATGATTTTACATTAAAAATTTTTGTACATGAATGTCTTTAAAATTCTTTTTCTCATTTGAGCCCGCTAGAAGATACTAACATCGGTTAGCGGGGTCTAGCCTCAATAAAAACATGTATAAAAATATTAACTTCATCATTTAACGAGTTAAACTTCAACCTTTATGTCTCGATAGGCAACCTCAACCTTTGAACCTCATTATGCATTAAAAAAATAACCTTATTCGTTTACTTAAAATATTTTCTTTCAATCAACATGTAAAACATATGCATGCCTATGAATGCACCTTAAGACCATCACATCACATCATATTAATCACATAAAAATACATAGCATTTACGTTCATGTTGTAGGTGAGTTACACTTACTTGATTCGCTTAAGACCATTGTTTATCGTAACCTTCTTTTAAAAATCGGTACCTCAACTTCATTCAAACCTTTAACATACACACCATATAATATAATAAATTGAATATTATTATTTTATTTCTAATAGTTTAATTTTTATTAATTCCTATTCTTTTCTTGTAATTTCTTTTAAATTAAAAATCCTAATTAAATCATCAACTCACTCTAATTTATCTCTACTTATATTCATATAATCTAATGTTATTAAATTTTAACTTAACCTATTCCATTCTTATTTAAATACATTTAATCATCAAATATTCTAATAAAAATTTAAGATTCTAATACTAAAATATAATTTTTATATAATCAATCCTAAATCATGAAATTTCAAACTCAATTCTACCTAAAATCATATGGAAACAAATAATTAAATTAAATATTTTTCTTACCTTAAATATTGAATCACCAAGACTTAAATCTTCTTCCAAGTACATTTGACTTCACTTCCTACTCAATTATATTCTCTCTCTCTCTCTCTCTCTCTCTCTCGAAATATATGCTTGTGAAATAACTTTCCTAAATGAGGAGAATGACACCCTATATATAGGCATGGGAAGTTGAAACATTTGAGAATTTTAAGTGCATGAATTAAAAATAATAAAAGACCACTAACTTTCTTCTTTTATGGCAACTAAGTGGCTTTCTTTCATGATCACTAACCTTCTTCTTTTATGACCACTTTCTTTTCTTTCATGGCCATTCATGTCTCCTCTTTAATTTTAATATATGTTTTAAAACTTTTTCTCTTCTTTCATTTCCTTTAAAAGCTAGTAAAACTTATTATTATTTCATTATTATTTATTAATTATTATTACTATTTTAATCCTTTAATTCCTAATAGCTTAGGCTAAGATTGTAGAATTAATTCCTATTTATAAAAATACTATCTATAATACCTAAAAATATATATAGTATATCTTAAAACTCTATACCTAATCATCACATCATCTAAAAACATAAAAAATATTAACTTACATACACAAATAAAGCACATATGCACACATATACACATCATATATTATCATGTAAAATTTTTGGGTATTACATAAACCTTCCGGATATGAGCACTAAGATACCTAATAAGGTTGGCATTGCTTCATTTATTGTTTTGTCGGCAAGTTAAAGTAGTTTTAGCCCAAAAGAATTCAACTTTATTAAACTCAAATATGATCGTCCAAACATGAATGATGTGGTAAAATTTTAACGAGTCAATAATCATCTTCAATTCACTATAAATATTATTCTCATAACATTGTGAGAAAATTCTAACTTGCTGATCTTTAATAAATAAATAAAAAAAACCGGGAACACTCTTTTTCAAATTTCTCTCACTCACATTAGATAACATCTAAACTTCTATCTATTTGGATCTTAATCACTCATTTGCCTGTCATTTGATTTACATCTTGTTAGTATTGCATGCTCTTCTTCCCATACTTCTCACCACTTGCATTCTATTCTACTTGATTGATCGGTCGTTATTTTTATAAATTATAAAATTAGCTTTACGCATTTTGACCGATCTCGTTAACCATTTGTTCGATTAGTTTTCAAAAATCCCCCTACACAAAATCTAAATGCCATACCAGTAGAATCATTGCATGCAATTCAGGTGATCTTTTTAGATAAGGACGTACTTAACGTTTAGATGGTGTTTATTTTCTTTTTCTTAAGAGTAATATATAGTTGGCCAAATATCCTTGAGCTAGTTTGTATGTACCAATGCCAAGGTTTACTTCTCCGGTCTACTGAAAAGGAAAACCATTCTCATCAGGATCACGAGAATTTGTCTTCTCATAACTTAACCAATCATCAAAATACCATTGCTATATCATAATTTGCATTTTGTTTACAATGACAATAGAAGGACGTGAAAGAGAAGCGGGCACAACAGTATGGCATCCACGCACTGGCAAATAAGTTTATAAATTCAAGCACTTTTGCCATTGTCAACTACGCAAAACATCGGAATTACATGAATAAAAACAAGACATGCCTAAATGTTGATAGAAATGAAAAACCAAATAACTCAAGCAAAGTTGTCTTTAAAATATTTACTGCTGAAATTTAGCAAAGATACAAGAGGGGTAATTTAAAAAAAAACTCTCAGCTTTCTTGCATCCGATATGTATGGACAAATGAATCTTGTAGGAGTGCAATAATGAAAATTATCAAGTGTAGGCTATGGAGAATAAGATAATGCTCGATGATATCAAGAGTTAATTACATATTATAAGATAAGATACTAAATTCTGAATGCTCTTTTCTATTACTTTTTTATGTTGTCAAGATGGCTAACTGTCTACGCCTTCACCAAATCAAGAATTACAAAGTTACTTATTTTTATTAATAACACCACCTTTGAAAAGGATATGCATATAGAGTTGATTTGTTGAAAGAAAAGCAGCATTGTCGACACTTATCATTGTAGAAGTAGAATTAACTAGATGGTGGGCTAATATTAATTAGTCCCTCATTTTGAAAAGGACGCAATGCGCTTAAATATTCCAATTTTCTCATGCTTACTATTTATTGAATATCTAAAACCATTAATATATAGTTCACTTGAAAAAATTTTATTCTACTCTTGAATATTAATTAGCATGATTAATTTTCATTTTCAGTAATGCCAAATATAATGTGGACGCAGCAACACTGAAGTATCTAAAAGGTTGATTAGGACACCTCCAAGCACTATTATCAACTTCTTAAGAAAAAGTTTCAAAAACCATGCTCTACTTATCGTCTTAAATTAATGATTACATTACCATGACACAAATTATTATGTTATCCCACATTGATTGTGAAAGAGACTGAGTGTTTGATTATAAACATTAAAAAAAAAAAAACCTCACTCTTTGAACTAATTTTTGAAATTGAGAAGGTTCAATAACACTCAACACCGATAGCGCGACATCAAGTTAAACAATTCTTCATGTATCGAATTCAAATAAGTTGATAAAAAATAACTAATTTAAGATTCGATGTGTGAAGTGAGATATTGTAGTGCTACTCCATATCAATTATGAAGAGATAAATTATTGTGTTATCCCATATCAATTGTAAAAGAAAAATTTTATTTTTTAAGCTAATTTTTTGAAATTAAGAAAGTCTAATAACCCTCAATGCTAATCTATTATCTATTAAATTCTCCTTTTTTTTTTTTTTGAAATATTTGGTATTTTAGGTGGGTAATTCAAGTCTAGTATAGCTATTCACACCCCCCCTCCCCCTATTGGTTTGTTTTAGAAATTTTAAACATGCATGGATGTACATTAATACAAGGAAAATCGTAAAACTTGAATTGAATATTCTCCAAAGAAAGAGAAAACATATTGCAGTTTCTATAATATTTGATGTAATATATGTGTGTGTGTGAGTAAAGCCATGCATGGAGCTTACTTCCGATTTTATGCCTCCCTCAATTCACTCGTTCCGACATGAACCGAGACCTCAAAGTAAATCTCCTTCCTATAAAATAATTTGAGTCACCTCTAACATGTTTATATTTTGGAAAAATCTCAACTAAGTCCCCCGACTATATAGAAACTATAAATTGAGTTGCCAAATAATTTTTCATATCAATTGGGTTTCAAACATTCTGAAAACTCTCAATTGAGTCTCCCATTCAAATCTGTTAATGAATTTTATAAAAGGAAAAAAATTGTATGTTTCTTTGAAAAAAATACGATGCCAATTTGTAAGGATTTAAAATTTTTTTTTTATTACTAAAAAAGATAAAGAGTTAGATGCAAAGCTCAATTGAGAAATTATTTCAATACATTGAAGATCCGATAGAGAAATTCTTTGGGGACTAAATTGAGATTTAGGTTATAGTTTGAGGGTTAAATTGAGGTTTTCTTCCCTGAACTACTTTCTTGTTCATCTATATGTGTCCTCGAGCAAGTAATGCCTTTGCGGTTGTTAATTTATGCTATTCCTCTATATATTTCTGTTTTTATTTTGTAACTTGTTTAAATGTTTTCTCTTTCTCTCTTTTTTTTTTTTTTTCCCAATCTGATGCTCTTTTTATTTCTGCATTAATTCATATTTTTCATTCTTAAGGATTTAATATTCTCAATTCACTCTATAATGCGGCATATTTTTTTGTTTTTGTTTTTTATTTTTGTTTTATATCTTATAATGCGCCGTCATTTTAGCTTAGTATATAGTCTATTAATAACTAAAGGATGTGCTTGATCAAGTAGTGCAAGCATGGTACCTAATACTACTTAATTATTCATAGTCAACCTTCAATACTTAATCTCGGAAGGACAAAAACCTTCGATGGTTATGTGATTTTAAAAGAGATTTTTATAATCAGTAGTATTGGAGTACGTAGAGCTGTCCACAATTTCACCTAAAGAAGAAATTATATGGTAAATGGCAATTCAAATTGAAAAGGATGTGAGTGCACTTAATTAGTGATTTGTTTTGTAACCACATGTGGCCCTTGTTATTAAGTAGCTAGCCAATGAGTGGAAGACAAAACCAAAAAACTATAAGGGATAAAAGCACTAACCTGCGTATATTAGTTTACATGATTCCTAATTAAATATGGTGATTAAGTTATAATATCATGTATGACATGGACGGAGCAACATTGGTGGACAGGGAGGAGGTTCGGCATCTTCAAGCAGTATTAATTAATGGTGATGCACTTAAATGCTAGTACTAGTTTGTAAATGTGTGAATGATGGTACATGTTAATCATTTCCAATAATTATCAAATCGCCAAAATGACAACATTTTTGTGCACAACTTTCTTCTTGGTCAGTGTCATCAATAATTAGTTTACCTTGTGTATGTGACGAAGCACCACTCCTCCACAAATGCCGAAATAGAAGCAACATTCATGTCAGACAAACACAATTTGGTGGTGACCATGAGTGAATTAACCTCCTCTTTTAGGTTCTTAAAGTGGGAAAAGACAGCATATATAGTTGAATGCTCGACAACTTTACAGATATTATCTAATTCATCGATCGACTATGTTTGTAGTTAGACTTCATCCCTAAAAAAAAAAAAAAAAAAAAACAGTATAAATATAGATAAATTTATCACACCATGTATAGGAATTATTCTTTATTTCTCATTCATGCACATTGAATGGATATTATTATACTTGTGTCGAGAATAAAATTAAATTTAAAGTATCTATGAAAACAAGATAAATTAGAGGTAAATGTGAAGTTAGCTACAATAACACTCAAATCCAGAACATCAAATTAATCAGTTATTTAGTATTACCTCATGAAACAATTAGTTCATTGGGCCCAATTTTATTTGTTTTTATGTTCAACAATATACAAGTTGTACGCAGTGGGTAAGAAAAGACTCGAAGATGCATTATATATATATATATATATATATATATATACACACACGACTAAAATGGAATGGAAGAAAATTCTACATTAACTGCTTTATGTTTGTAACGATACATTCTTTTGAATGTTTTTGCTCCTATTTGAACGATACACGGCAAAATAAATTTAAAGGATCCAGACGGTTTATATGTTATGTGTTCTATCATACACAAGTATATATTATCTTCAATACTAATTAATTACCTATCTTAGCGCTTTTAATTAAAAAAAAAAACTGAAAGATTTACAAACAATTATTTAAATCAAAGATCTCGTACCAAAGAATTTATAAACACCAAAATTAGATAATTTCATTATCAAATTAGGAGATGCATGAATTTAAAGGTTTTAAATCTAAAAGTATAAAATTGAATTTTAGTTAAAAATAATTGTTCATTAATAATTTTTTAGGCTTGATTTTAGTTTAGGAGACTGTGGGGAGTGTTTGAACGTGTTTTTGGTGAAAAGAACCGAAAAACATGGATTTTTAAATTCGACACAAATTTTTAGATTTCGATTAATTTTTCTTAAACAAACAAGCTGCAGTTTGATTCATAAACTTTCAGGTTGTCTGTTTTACATATTGCTCAAACAATCAATTGCTTTCGATAACCTCCTAATCCAAATTTTAACTTTCTCAAAGAAAATTGATTGTTGTGTGTCTCATGTTTATACTTAATTTTTATGATATAAGTTGATTGAAGTGGTTTTCAAGAAATTTGAGTGATTCTTTAAGATAATCGGTGATTGTTTTTATCTTTTCGTGTAGAAACTTTTTTGACTTCATGGTGATTCAAATATGAGTTTAATTTGAGTTTTAACTGATTTTTCAATGTCTTAGATATTGTTATTTTGAAATTATATCTCTATTTTTATATTTTTTAATATTATTTTACTTTTTATTATTTATAATTTCTTTTGAACTCAAATCGAACTTCAAAAACTATTTTTAAACAATTATTTTAGGTTAAAATTTAATTTTATACTTTTTAAAAATTAAAATTTCTAAATCTTATCTTTCCTATTTTGATGAAGAAATGTTTCATTTAAATTTCTATAAATTTACTGTGAAAAATTATTTTCGTTTGACTCTGTTTTTTTTTTCAATTGACATTAAGATCGGAATTTGCCGTCCATTGGCCAGATTTCTTTTTCTTTTTCCTTTTTTCTTTCAAAATTAGGACAGTATGATAATTGGCGTTGGAGAGTATACTTATGTGGGGTAGAGCATGATAGCATATGGACCCTTCAAATTCATTGTTGATACGCGTCACTTTCAGAAGAGGAAAGGCATTGAAAGGCATGGATCTTGCTAACACTCTAATTGGACCCCTTGAATCGGTATCCATTTGAACATCTGGTGGGGTAATGGTGCGTGTGGTTTCCACACGAAAGTGGATTTCATCCTTTTTAATATAACCAAATTTCATTGATGACTTGGTGGTAACCTGACATGGCAGAATTCCAGAACCGTTACGTTTGGATTTTCTGTAAGACGCAGGTTTTGCTTCATTTTCAAGTAATATGCATTTGGTCATTTAAAATAAAATAAAATGCAATCATTATATAAGTCCAAATTAATTTGTTTTAAGGAAAGAGCATGCGCAATATAAATATATGTTTCAGGGGGCGTGGATGGGTGGAATCCATAGATTTCTAAGCTAGCCACGACAGTAGACTTCGTCCTCTTTAATTTAATTCTACTCTCGTGGCTTCCACACGAAAGCGAGTTTTCTTCTTAATATTTTATTATCACTCAGTCTAAAATCTATCTTTAATTTGGTAGGACCGCTTACATCCTTTAAGCTCTTTAGTTAGCAGGTTTGCTTACCTGATTTTATATATATGATTCTGCATGCGATTCTGTTGTTGTTGGAGAACTATGGTCTATGCCCATGTCTAATAAATAATGATAAAAAAGAATAATATTGTATTTCATTAAGAAAAAAAAATACTGTATTAAGTTAAGAATAGATAATCCTTCTTAATGGTTAAGTTTTGAGTTTTTAAATGAAATTCAATTTTGATTTATCAAATTTAATACAAATTGAGATTTATCATGAGAATTGTTGGAAGTGGGCAGCTGGAAGATCCGATCATCTTGTGTAAATTCAAGGGGGCTTCTGTAGTACTGTTTTTCTGTAAAAAAAAAAAAAAAAATGCTTCAATTCTATCAGACCTCAAAGCCTTGAGACGATTGGTTGACATTGTTAATCATGGAGTTCAAATGACGCCCGAACAAAGTTTTATTTATTGGCTTACTATTTCTTACAGGCTTTCGGTAAAGGGGAGGTGAAGTTACATGCCCTATTTGCCTATATGGTTCTGCTGGAGATATTAAACCAGTCAGGAACTATTTTTTCATGGCCTGCGAAAACCAAATCTCTTTGCTATACCTGACTTTCGATGGAACTTTCAAAAATTATTAAATTTTTTTATTTAAATTATTTATAATTTATTTTAGAGGCATGAATTATTATTGATTTTGGGAGTTATGATATAATATTGTAGGAACTAAAAACTTAAAAATAGTACTTGATTCGGAGATTTTAGGATAAAAAGTTAGTTATGTTTTTGAAAAAAATATCGATCATCAAAAAAGTCCATTTCTAAGAAAAGTATTACATCTAGTTTAGCCATAAAATTTATCTCCTAAGGTGTTTTATTTGTATCAAATTGTTTATGATTTAAACTCTAAGTTCTTCTATGTAGAACAAGAACAAAAAAAAACAAAACCTACCCTCACCCTTAGTAAACTTTCTTCCTCTACTAAATTGAAACCTAGTTCCAAATATCGACTCAATCAAAACAAAAGAAGAAAGTAAAAGGGAATGGGACAATTATGTATGTTTTGTCATTCTCATCGTTTGTTCATGGGTAAATCAGCAATAAGATCAAGGCAATTGGAAACGAAAATCATGAAGAAGATAGAGTGCTTACCTTGATGATCGATGGATAAAGCTCAATTTGAAGTTGAACTATTTGTAGTAGATTGAGCCGTTTGATTTGGTGAGGATTGCTCTAAAATCATGCTAGAAATCTAGTAGCTTTTCTCGAAAAAAAAACCCAAAAAGTCTTTAAAACCCAAAAAAAATTCCCTAAAGCTAGAAGTTTTTCCTTTGTAGAAACCTAGAACTTTTTCTCAAACCCGAACTCACCTTCTTATCTCGTTTATCTCTATTAGATTCCCGATGTACCTAACAAATTGCCCATTTACAACTCTTTACTAAGACCATCAAAAAGAATATCGAGTACATCAATCCTCTAATGAGATAACCAAGATAACTTTAAGTCAAAAAACTACTTGTACCTATCTCGTATGAGATTTTCATAGACTATACCAAAATGGATTCTCATGGTGAGTCATATCCAATGATATGTTTCTTAACATTATTCACTTGTGTGCTTTTTTTGACATCAACTATGCTAGTAGGTATGAGATCTCCTACTCGTTATTTTATAATAAGAGCATAACACTTATAAGTTTTATCGTATATTATCAATGTCCAATCTTGACAATACTACGACCGAGAATATTTAATGATATCATTTAGGTGCATTGATATTTATCTCACATCTATTAATCAATTATCAAAGCAAGAAATATCATATAAATTTCTATCTAGTTTTATCAAGTTATAAATAATATGAATTAATAAAAAGAATTTTTTATTAATATAAAACACAATAATACAATATTTTAAAAATATCCAAATAGATTGAATCTTAGGCACCCATACTAATAATCTTTCACTTATATTAGAGCCAACCAGCCATGTCCTTAATACTTGAAGATTGAATAAGAGTTTCATATTTCTATGGTGACAAAGGCTTAGTCGAGGGATCTGCTATGTTGTCATCAATGTAAACTTTTTCTATCCTTATATCACCACAATCGATAATCTTCTTAATCAGATGGTAACATTGCAATACATGTTTGGATCATTGATAAGACACGGGTTTCTAAGATTGTGCTATAGCTCCGTTATTGTCACAAGATAGTATTACAAGATCAATAATGCTTAGAACAACTTGTCATCTGGATAAAAACTTATAAATCCATATAACTTAGCTACTTACGCCATCGTAATGTTGTTGAGTTAGTTACTCGTTTCTTACATGAAACTTTTCCAATTCACAACATTATTATTCAATAGGAAAATGAATCATGATTGTGACTTAAAGTCATTATGATGAGTTTGAAAACTAGTATATGTGAACCCTTTCATAACTAGCTCATCTCCTTCATAGACTAAGAAAACATCATTTGTTCTTCTTAACTTAAGAATGCTCTTTATAGTAATCCGAGTATTTCTCACATAGATCAGCTTGTTCTTAATTACAAATACTCAAAGCATATGAGACATCAAATTATGTATATAGCATAAAAATATTTATTAATAATTATTATAAAATCAATAAAAGTGATTTTTTTATTATTTTAAAAAAATTGTTAAGAATTTTTTTCTAATTCTTAATAATTTTATAATATTATTAATTATCTTAACTTTAAAAAGATTATAATATTATCTAATTTTGTCGGTGAGCATTGTCCTTTGGGAAGAGATCCTATATACACATCATACACCTGTTTTATCGGCATTACCAATAACATATGTATAAAAACACGACTTCTAGCATAAATTTCCTATCGGAATGGCCATTTCCAGATTTTATGAACATCAATACATTATGATCTATCCTTTGGCTAATGTATAAGGAATACGATTCATCTTTTCCTTCCACTTTATGTTTTAGGATACTCGAAGCTTAGAGAGTTTTATGCCATGTGATATTAGAAGAAGTCATCTTTTTCATATTCATTCATACTAAACATTTTTCACACTTTGTTAATGCATGTGCTTTGGAAGAGTCCTAACATTCTTCGTGATCTATCTCTATAGATTCTAATTTCTAAAATATAGGCTACCTCTCTCATGCCTTTTATGAAGAAATTCTTGGATAGCTAATCTTTTATAGATTGTAACACGATAATGTTATTGCTAAGAAGTAGTATGTTGTCTACACAATTAAAACTATTAAACTCTCATTAAGTTTTTTATATACACAAGGTTTATCCTATTTTTGTGAAAAATCAAACTTTTTGATCGTTTCATGAAAACTTTAATTCTAAATCCTAAATTCTTACTTTAGTCTATAAATGAATTTTCGTAACTTATAAATCTTATTTATATATCCTTTGATGACAAAAGATCGAGTGGTGTCATGTACATATTTTCTTGTAAATTTTCATTAAAGAAAGCTTTTTTAACATCCATCTGTCGTATCTCAAAATTATGATATGCTCGTAATTGCAAGCATAATCCTAATGGATTTAATCATAGCTATTGGTGAAAAAGTCTTATCATAACCAATCCTTTATTTTTTACGATAACCTTTTGCTACTAGTTTGGCTTTGTAAGGATGCATATTTCCATCCGTGTTAGTCTTTCTTTTATATACCTACTTACATCTAATAAGTCCGACACTTTCGGGTAGATCAACCAAAGTCCATACTTGATTAGTGTACATGAATTCCATTTTGGATTCTATGGCTTCATGCCATTTCTTAGAGTCAATAACTAATATTGTTTCTTCATAGGTATTAGGTTCATCATCCTTTGTAGGAGACATATCATTATATGTACAAATTCTTAGATAGCTAATCTTTTACGGATTGCAACATGATAATATTTTGTTGAGAAGTAGTATATCGTCTCCACATAGAATAACAAAGACTATTGAACTCTCATTAAGCTTCTTATATAGACAAGGTTCATCTTTGTTTTGTGAAAAATTAATTTTTTTGATCGTTTCGTCAAAACATTGATTCCAAGTCCTAGATTCTTGCTTTAGTCCATAAATGGATCTTTGTAACTTGTAAATCTTATTTGCATGTCCCATTATAACATTTTGACATGGATTTAAGAATATCGTTCTTAGTCTATTTTCCTCTCTTAGTATATTATAATGTCTACTCATTAAGTTATCGATTGCTCACCCCTCATTATTGCAATCTTGTAGGATATTGAAGGATTGCCCATTGATTCCTTTTGGTTGCTTGATTCGAAATTGACACTTTAGTCATGCGAATCACTTTAATTGTAATTCCTTAAAGCCGATGTTTGTTTAAAATTGTAATCTTAGATATTTTGCAATTATAGTCGTGGATAGTATATTAGGAGTTGGTTATGAATATTGATTTTGAATATTGAAATATGAATTATATTGAGTTTGTAAAAAAAAATGTTTATTAAGTTATGATAATGTTGATTGGATTAATAATTTGAGTGATATTAATTTGAGGACTATAGTGTATGTCCGAATATGATTTGAAATTTAGTTTAGTATCCGAAGTTTGCTTGGGTTGAGGTGAGCCTCATGATCCCTTCGGTTCTCGCCACGATCATAACCCACTCCTAGGGTCGTGATATCAATAATAGCCTTTAGTGATACAGATTATGTAAGTTGTCCCTTTGTCATAATTTGGTATCTTGGATGACTAAAAAGCAACACATTGTTTCTCAAAGTAGTACCA